GCAGTTAAAAGTCCTTGCTCTCCTTGCAGAAGACCAGAGCTCGGTTCCAAGTACCCACTTTAGGCAGCTGAGCTCCCTGCAATTCCAACTCCAGGGGATCTGACACACTCTCTGGCCTCAGCAGACACCAGCATGCACATGCACGCACACAAACACACGTAGAGACAGAATCTCTCTCTCTCTCTCTCTCTCTCTCTCTCTCTCACACACACACACACACACACACAAATAAAATCTTTAAAAAAAAATTAGGTTCACCAAAATTCAGTCATTAGAGTTTCTCACTTAAGGACTTTTAAACATTCTCTACCAAAGGATAATGTCTACTGTTTTGTACTCTTTCTACGAACACCCTTTATGTGTTGTACAGCTCAGCTTTGTGGAGACAGGTTAGGTGCTTGCGCTAGCTAGGAGAAGAATTAAAACACAGAAGGGCGAGGTCAGCATGTTCGGAGGGCCAGGAGAGGGGCAATGCAGCTTGATCTTTGCTGGTGGGTCCAGGGCTCTTTCCACAGTGCCAGAGTGACTTCCTGGAATATGAGCGGTGTTGTTTCTTGGGCATAGGACACATAGGTGTGACCCGAGCCCTGAGTTCACCCAGCATCTGCAGAGCTGTGTAGTGTTCAAGTGGACACTGAGCCTGCTCAGTGGCTGCTCTTGATTTAGATGCCTCTGTTTTCATTCTGATTCGTCCTTCACAAATGACTGATGGATTCCCAGGAAGGCTCACAGTGATAAGAGAGAGCACAGCCAAAGGGCAAGAGCAGGACTGTGCCCTCCCAGAACTGCCAAGCCATTTGTCATTGTGAGCCCAGTGCTACTGATGTGAACAGGACACAGAGAGGGCCAGGGTCCTATTCTTCTCTATGTCACTATCAGTGACGCCTTCTTTCCTAAACCAACCTTTGTTTTCCCCACTTTATGACAGCCCATTATCAGGGCCAGTGTATCTGATTTGATACACTGTTGTATATATAAGCACTGTACATTGTTTTGAAGGGTAGTTATCACTCAGGTCCAGACCTTTTGAACCATCAAGGAGAAAATTTTCTATCACTATTATCCCCTCTTTTGTCCCAATTTGGTATATATTCTTTCTGTAATCTTTCAACTCATCTTTTCAAAGATGGCCCCTGCCTTCCCCACCGCTTGCCTTCTGCTCTTCTTTCTTCATTTGTTCATAACATGTCTTACACCTGAAATGTACTGTCCTTGTGTTTCTGGTCCCCAAGTCTTGAATGTAAGCTTAATAAGAGCAGGAACCCGTGGTTCTTGTGGTGGTTCCATGGCCAACACAAGTGCCTGGGACAGAGCTGAGCAAATACAGGTCAAATTACCTGATGGTTAAATTATTTTCTTCATGACGGGTACAGTCCTGAATAGAGCAGCTGCTGCAGAAAAGACCTCTTAAAATAAAAAAAGCAAGAAGGAGGCTGGGGATAGAGCCTAGTAGTAGAGCTCTTGGCTAGCACATCCAAGACCCTGGGTGTGATTTAGCAGCCCCGTCCACCCCAAAGATTATAGAGAAGCCATTGCAATAGACGAAAGACAAAGACTTCAGCGTCCTTTTAGTTGGAGTTTCTAGTTTCTGATTGACTGATCAGTTAGGGGAAGTTTACAGAATGGGAAATATAAGAATGCCAAGTCAGACATTCTCTGAGCCTCTGAATGATGTTCCCAGGGACTACTTCTCCAAGCTGAACCCCCTTTCTGCCTGGCCACCTCTTCTATATGGAAGTGGAAGCAATTGCAAATTGCAATTCCCACCACACTCACCCAAGTCATTCCGTAGGAGAGCATAGGGAGAGGGCTGGGGGCCACGGTTTTGAGGTCCACCGGTTTGTTAGCTTTGTTCCAATGCTGCTAAGCACTAAGGGCCCAGGACTTGCAGCTTTGTCTTCACAGCTTTCTTAGGGTCGGCTTGCAGATTTTCTAGTTATTGCCTAAAGTCTATCTCAGTCATCGAGCTTCTCGTGAAAGCCTTTCTGAATATCCCACTCTGTCCACGTCACTCTACTGGTCCCATCGCCCATGTTCATTTAAATGACTACATTGATGACTGCCCTAAATCATGCCGTACATCTCCGCATCCAAGTTTTATGGCTTATGTGAAGCTGGTACTGTCTGAACGCTGAGGACATGAGCAATCACACGTGTCTAGCAACAGAGGGGGTGATGAGAAGGCTCAGGTGGGAGGAGGTCATGCTTCACAAGCTTGATAACCTGGGTTTGCTCCCTGGAGTCCCATGGTAGAAGGAGAGAACTGACCCCAAAAGATGGACATCCACATATGTCACACATGCACACACTACACACACTTACTATAAACAAACAAACAAATAAACTACTTTACAAGCCAGTCAGTCACCTAGCTAACATTTGGATCTTCCCTTATGTGTCATATTGGATTGTATGTATATGTATATAAGTATGAATGAATGTATGTGTATTTCTGTTTTGTTCAGGGACTCTGATTGTTTTGAAACACCCTTACCCAAGAGAAGTGGAAGAACCTTCCATCTATGAATCGGTCCGGGTTCACACAGCAATGCAGACAGGAAGAACAGAGAGTGACCTCATGCCCACTGCACCTTCTGTAAGTGGCCCCTGTGCGCGTCGCTCGATGTCATTGAATGCAGTGAGAACTAAAGCCCATTGTCTCAGTAAAAGTTCTAGCTTGGAGCCAACCCAGTGGCACACACTTGTAATCCCAGCACTGGGAAGTCTGAGACTTGAGGGTCATTGTGAATTCAACCCTGGGCAAATAGAGAGTTCCATGTCAGCCGGAGCGGAGCTGTCTTGTAGCACCCTGTCTTGAAAGGCAAGTGAACAATCAAACAACAACACTGCATTGTAGAGGGAGATAAAAAACTTGAAAATTGATCAGATCATCTGGCCCAAAGAAAACTTAAAAGAAACAAACAAACAAACAATAAACAGCCCATAAATGCTTTGGCTGACTGTAGCTCAGTGTTAGAGGGAGGTATTGTGAGGTCCTGGCTTCCATCAGCAGTAGAACACACACACACACACACACACACACACACACACACACACACACACTCATGGAGAGTGAAAGAGAAAGAAAGAGAGGCCTTAGTAATAAGATTTCAAAAACTTAGCAAATGTCTCTCTTTAAAAAGCCAAACAGGCTCGTGTTGAAACAGGTGGGAGACATGTTCTCCTACCTGCCTAACCAGGCATTCTTTGACAAGCTGCCTCAAACTTAGAAAAAAAGTTTCCTTTACATTTCAACTGTCTGTGAAAGGAAAGCCTTCTCCAGCTTCACCGGAAAACTTAGGATGCTGTTTTTCTAGCCTTTGTTCTTCGTTGACTGGCACCCACAGGGAGCAAGCAGTCATACTTCTCTGCAACATCATCCGGCCCCGCTTTAGCCTGAGTGTTACAGGATCACTTCTGGCTCTTGCCTCCCCTCAGAGCCTTGGGTATGTTCTGTGGGCCACGGTCTTCGGGTTTCTTTCATATCTCCTTCCTTCCCCATCCTTAGGGTTCCTCCACTTGCTGTTTCCTCCTGGAATACTGAATACTTCTAGTAAGAGAAATCTCTATTTCGGCAGATGGTAAATATGGCAATGCCCAAATAAAACACCAAGAACCAATTCTATGCTTGAAAAACAGCCACTTGGAGTTATTCAGCTACCAAAAAATATTAAAGCAGATGGGACCTTCCTATCCCAGAAAAGTTTTTGTTTGTTTGTTTGTTTTTCTATTCTGATGCCAAAGAAAGGCTTTTTTAGATGTACCATGCTGGGTGTGATGGTGCAGTCTGGAAATCCCAACACCAGGGATGTAAATCTGAGGCCAGCTAGGGCTATGTATTAAGATGCTGTATAATATTCCTCAATATTCTACTATTGAGAGTATGTTTACTTACAACAGTCATTCTGGTGTTTTGTTTTAATCACATTTTATGATTTGGGATAAACTTGAACTTACAGAATAACTGCCAGAATAATCCAAAAAGCTTTGTCTTCCCTTAGCCATTTAAGATTTCCCTTAAGCCATTTATAGGATGCCTGAGCCTTTTAAAGATTGGGGAGTACATTTCCTACAAAGACAACAAAGAGACTTGCTCACATGACCACGCCCCGCCATCTAAGTTAGAATGTTGCCACTCTTGTATCAGCCCATCTCAGTGAGCTGTTTCTGCCATGCAGTCCTGGAGGACACAAAGATCCGGCCCTCAGTTTTATGTGCCCTGTCAGTTGAGCATCATTCCTGTCTAACCTTGTTTTTCCTTGAGCTTTCCTCTCTTTCATTTGTACAAATCAAAGGCCGACCCTGTCCTAAACTATTCCTCGTGTTCGCTTGTCTCTCATTGAGTCATGATTGGGCTGGAGTGTGTGGGTGTACAGAAACACCACGATGGACTCTCATGCCCCTCACTGCCTCCTCCAATCCACCAGGTTTGCAGCATCCCTAAAAGGAAGGGTTTGATCCTGTGAGAGGGATCTCCAGCTTTCTTCACTATAGAATCATTTTTTTCTTTTCTGTTATTAATAAAAAATTTCCAGAAAGCAACCAGAGAATGTATGAATATGCATACTCTGTTCCCTACTAAAATGTTGCTCATCAATTGGCGCTTACTGGCTGTCTTAACCACTGCTCTGGCTATTTTGAGCGGTGAGCCTTGGGTGTTCCTACTTCTTTTATGTTTATTGGCTGCCAGCTTGCTGTAAGGAAGAGGCCTTTATTTCCTGCATTTTCCAGTGTTTTGTGTATCAGTGGGTTAAGACTCTAACACACTTTATTTTGATTTTTCAGAATTGTCTGGGATGTGGTGGGTAAGAACCCTTTCAGGGTGGCTTCTGTGTCTATGGACTCCTAACACTTTGGTAGCTTCGCTTTCTGGTACAGCAAGGCGCTCCAGACTTAGCACATACTTTCCTGTGCTCATATCTAAACCCACTATTTTTTCAGAAGAAATGCCTTGTTCTTGTCTATAAAGCAGTACTTTGCAACTTGATATCTGGGGCACATAAACCTGTTTTGATGGAACTGTCACTCTCCTACCTACTTGGGGATAAGGAAAAGATATGCGTCTGCATATGTCCATCTGTCCATCTATCAATTCTTCCCTGTATGAATGCACAGCAACAACTGAAATCCTCACCAGAACCACAAGGCTCATTCTGGGTTTTTCCCTTTCCATGCTTGTGACAGCTTCTCCCACAGGGAGGACTATAGGCCCCATTTCCCAGAATTTGGTGATCAATGAGTGTAAGCAATGTCTGCCTGCTGCTCTGATGCCCATCCCCCAATGGACTTCACTCACCGATCTGTTCCAGGCTGCCACCCTACTCTCACTGCAGACGCCTACTTTACCAATTTCTCTGTGAAACTACACTCTTCACCATCTCCACCCAATTAGGAGGAAGCCCTCACCCCACCCAGCTTTAACCACCCCCACCAAGCTGCTGCTCCCATAACTAGTGTCACCACCTACATGGCTTTTCCCTGTTCTCTGCTTGGGCTCCACCACCCCGTGTCAAGGTGCACGAATGTTCACACACTCATTCCGCCTAAGGACTCTGTATATGTATGGTAAACAGTGAGCATGGCGTTTTTGTTAAACATTTAGGTTGTCCCTATCCTGGGAGTGTTCCAAACATCTTCCCTGCTATAGATCATACCAGGTTTAAGGATAAGTCTGCCATGCAATTATTTCAGTTCTTCTATCTGGAGGACTCTGGGTCAAATTATATTCTCAGATCATCTGTCTTCAGCATTTCACTTATCAAAACCAGAGAAAATAGGGTATTAGAGGTAATAGTGAGTCATAGCATTATTCCTTAGCTTGAGTTCAGAGGCTAATTCTATTAGGATCTATTAGGATCTTTTACAAAAAAACTCACCCTTGATTATTTTATCTCTATAGACATTTATCTGTAGCAACCCAAAATTATAATTTTAAAGAGTTCTTAATATTCAACTAATTTTAATTTATTTTTTCAATTTTAATTTTCTTAATACATGCTGCGCACATTTTGCCTGCATGTATGTCTACACGTATTTATGCCTGGTGCCCTCAGAGGCCAAAAAGAGTACACTAGGTCCCCTGGATCTAGAGTTACAGGTCATTGTAAATGCCCGTATGGTGCTGAGAACCGAACCCAGGTCCTCTGGAAGAGCAACACGTGCTTTTAACCACTGAGCCATTTCTTCAGCCCTTCAGTTCAATTCCTTTAATATCAAATAAACCACAATGATTATGTGATGTCAGACCCAGCAGTGTTGACTAGCATTCCTGACATGCACATTTAGGACATTGATTTTGACTTTTCTGCCCTCAGAATTCCAGAAGTGGCTCTGAGCTGTTGCTCGACTCTGTCCTTGGAACCTTGGTAGTTCCTCTTTCTATTTGGTAAGAAGAATTCACCCCCGGAAGAAACACTCTGGAAACTCCCATAAAAAGAACTGTGATGTCAATGAAATTATTTCCCAGTTCTTATTTGTTTTCTTCTCTATAACAAAGGATATTGTATGAGATCACATCGGAACAAAATAACCTCCCAGAAATTCAGTTTGTACAGAAAATTACAGAATTATGAGGGTCTTGATCTTAGGGCCCCTGGCCTATGTAAATTTTTGCACCATTCCCATGATTCATAGGTGCTAAGTACCGCTGTTACCTTTGAACTAATGAAACGTAGATTAAAAGAAATAATTCACCTGTATTTCAAACCCTATTTTGAATAGATGAAGTATAAATGCATTTGCACTTCTTAGTATCTTCTCCATGGGATGTGAGTCTCCTGAAAGGACTTTGGAGTGGAGAACATCACGTAGAAGAAAGACTGTGTAATAAAATAAATATTGCATTTCTGCTTCACAGTTTCGTCTCAAACGTTTTAAAAAACCAAAGCCCTAAAATAAGGAAATTCTTTTAGTTTTCTTAATATACTGTTCCAAATGTAGTACTCCCTCAGGATCAGTCAGTATTTCCAAGACCCCATCTTAGCTGTCCAAGACCCTTCTATGAAATGGCACAGTATTTGCACAAACTATCCACATTCTCACATGTACTTCATATTAGATTACTTATCACACCCAATGCAATATAAATATTTGTGTTAAATGGTGAATAGAATTTTTTGTTTGGGGGATGACAAGAAAGAGGATCTATACACATTCAGTACAGACTCAATGTTATTATCAAATATTTCAATCCATGGCTAGTGAATCCAGGATGCAGAACTTATGGATATGGAGGCTGAAGGCCAATCGTGGTGTCAACCATCCATTACACATGATTGTTATATACTAGGACTCTTACAGCAATACAAGAAGCACCCTACCTCACACCAGAGGTGGTTAATTGTTGTCAAATTGCCAGCTTGAGTTACTAGAGCCTTCCCATCAATGCCTATTGATATGGAATACCTCAGACGATCCAGGCTGCAAAGGGTCTCCCAGGCACCTGGAAGAGTTTCAAGAGCTAAGTGAAGAAAGAATGAGGACCCTTAAAGATCAGTGGTGAACATGGTCCACCTAGAACAGGACAGAAGGGCGAGCCTGTAGGTTGGGGTAAAGTGCCTAGAGTAAGTGTTCATCCCTAGCACTGCAAGATAGAGCAGGACAGGAGCACACGGCCAAACACGTGACAATTCTGGATTTCATTCCGAGTATTTTCTTTTGCAGCTGGGCACCAAAGAAGGCTATCTCACCAAGCAGGGCGGCCTGGTAAAGGTAAGAGAGAGTGGTTTGTTTCTTTGTTTGTTTGTTTTTAAGAAAAATTGTAAACACTTTGAACCATTTATATTTAACTTAAAAAATGACTTGACCGTTCTCTGGCAAAGCCCCACGTAAGAGCACCCTGCAATTCATATTAAACCGGAAGCCCCGTGCCGCATGCGTGGAAGGGTACAGAAACAAAGGGGGTCAGTTAATTCTTGAGAATTTCTGCTCCGTTTTGTTTTAACAAAAAAGTCAAGCTTTTATAAAATGTTTACTGAAAGGTAGGCCAAACATATCACTGGTGTTAAAAAAAAAATGACATTATAAAATTGCCAAAGTAAACATAGTTTAGACCTTTACAAGTCCAGGGCACCTGACTGCTCCCTGCCTGCAATTGTACCTTTAAAGTTCTGTTTAATTTCCATGCGTCACAGCCACCAACATACACGGTGCCAGCTCTTGTCTATTTTAGGAGTCAGAGTCCTTTACCGTCTCTGCTGTGAGCTAGGCGGCTTGAGCCTAATCTAATCACGCAATTATTCATGCCCTTGCCAGCCTGGATGATGCTCCCTGAGGCGGGGAGACATTCGTGTGTGTGGTCTATTTGTCGATTTGTTGGTTTCGTATTCAGATAGGGTCTCACTCACAGCGCAGGCTGACCTCAAACAGACAGTCTTACTCCTCAGCAGTGTTAGGATTACAGGCATGCCCTGCCATGCCTGAATATTTATTCCAGAATCGTCTGTCGTCTCTTTTAAGTGGGGGCGTTGCCAAAACCCGATCAGGGCTTTGTTAGGACGTAGGCCCATAATAGCCAACAGCAACAGTGTTTGCTGTTGAGTCTGTGAACTCTGTCAGGCAGGATTCAGAATGTCATGTGGTTAAAGGTTCCTAAATCCCAATTGGCTTATTTGTGAAATAGTTACTAATAACAACAATAATAATAGGTGGCATTATTTTATATGCATTGGATACATTTTACTAAATATACACTATATAAATAAAGTTTCAAGAGTACACATGAAATATATGTAGATTTCTGGTGTGGGGATATAGATCATAGCAGGTTCTCAAAACTTATACCTATTTTTATTATAGAGTTAAAATGGAAATTTAAGTGGTTTGTTATAAATCCCCTTGAATATTAACAACAGCTGCATCTATCCATTTAAATAAACTTAGTGGTATTTCTATTGTGTTCTAAGAACACAGAATCATCTTACTTTTTATAGCCATTTTGAAACTCTTCTCAAAAACAATACCCCAAAATATTTTAGGCCTAATTTATCTAATCTTTTATATACTTTTAAAAATGAAAATAAACTATCAAGTTCAGATACTACATTCTTGTATTCAAACTTCATTTTTCCGTTTCAGACCTGGAAAACAAGATGGTTCACTTTGCAAAGGAATGAATTGAAGTATTTCAAAGACCAGATGGTGAGAAAGATACCAGCACTTCCCTTCCCCCAACCCCAACCTCTCCATCATCCCCCATCCGGACCTCAACCTCTCCAACTCGCCACTCCCACCCCGCTTAGATGTCAGTTCTGTGAGAAACTAGAGTCTAGAGACCGAGCTCTTTCGACTTGTATTTATGTAGAAGGGGAGCGGGGCACATTGGCTGCAGAGTTTGTCTGGAGGTCAGAGGACAACCTGTGGGAACTTTCCCCTTTCCATACGTAGGAGCTCGTGAGAACCAAACTCTGGTCATCAGGCTTGATTTGACCGCAAGTATCTTTACCTACTGAGCCATCTCACCAGCCCAAGATCTGGCCTCTTGACTCTTGATCTATTCTGATGCTGTTAAAATGAGCGCTCCCTCTAGGAGCTGCTTTTGGGTCTGAGCAGCATATGGCTCCCTCTGTTTGGGACAATGGAATTCCCCCCATGCCATTCTTTACTAGCTGTCCCTATTAAGCAAATTTCCCTTTTATTAAAAGCATAGCCATTTCCGAGGTCCATTTTATCATGCCAACTTAAAATGATTTCCTTTTTTTTTTTTTTTTTTTTGCATACAAGATTTCTGCAATAAAGTTCTTGAAGGATGGGAGAAAATATGATTCCTTTTCATGTGCTAAAATTTCTCCATCTGATATAAATTAACAAAAGCAACACCTTTTTAAAAAAGATTTATTTTATTTTAAAGTGTGTGTGTGTGAATATTGTCTGCCTGTGAGTATGTGCTTGTGAGTATTGGTCTCAGGCCAGGGGCATTGAACCCTTTGGTGCTGGAGTTACAGGCAGTTTGCCAGGTGTGGGTGCTAGGAATTGGACACAGAGCCTCTGAAAGAACAGGTCAAGAGCAGGTGACTCTCTTAACCACTGAGCCATCCACACAGGCCAGCAGCTCTTCCCGATGCTTGGTCTGTGAAAGGCTGGTCCCCAAGCCCCAGTGTGTGCCTTCCCTTGGCAGGCTTTCCCATCATCCACTACCCCAATGAAACAAAATGGACAATTGCATGCCGCAGAAACCTTGTTAAGGGAATAGTGATGGACACCTGTATGTGTTTATTTTTTACGGCATGTTTGCTTTTTTTTTTTTTTCCAGTCACCAGAACCAATTCGGATCCTAGACCTAACAGAGTGCTCAGCTGTTCAATTTGATTATTCACAGGAAAGAGTAAACTGTTTCTGGTAAGATGTTTTCATAAAGAACATGTTTCTAAAGGTCTTTTAAGCCGAGGAATGAAAAGCTATCTATCTTCATGTGTACGTGTCTGGATCAGAGAGACATGGACTTAGCCTCCCTTGGGTGCTGCCTGTTAGGAGTGCTTGCAGCTGCAGAGGCCACAATGCCGCAGCTAAAGTGGCCTCAGCCAAAGGCAGGTTGTTCAGGCTGTGCACTGCGCAGCCTAAGACACGTTCAGACATTCACATCTTAGGACAACTTCACTGCTTTGAGATTTTCCTCTCAGTTTTAATTATCATTTTGCTGGCTCCTGTGATAGGTGGTCTGTATTGCTAGGGTCCTGTCTGGCTTGCAGACGGAGATGTTTTGTCCTGATATGATCAGTATATTGTGAAACATTTCTGAGACTTGATAAAAGAAGGCACTTCTTCCTCTCTGCCAGCTTTTGTTTGGAAGTTTTTCAAATATACCCAAGCTGAAAGATGTAAGCTCTTCTCCCTCTAGCCTTGGCACATTAAGAACTTGCCAGATTTTCTTTATCACCACTTTTCTTTCTTCCTTTTTCCTTTTCCATTTTTTTCTTTTTAAAAATTTATTTATTACAACTTATTTACTTTGTATCCCAGCTGTAGACCCCTTCCTCATCCCCTCCCAATCCCACCCTCCCTCCATCTTTTCTTACCATGACCCTCCCCAAGTCCACTGATAGGGGAGGTCTTCCTCCCTTTCCATCTGACCCTAGCTTATCAGGTCTCATCAGGATGGCTGCATTGTTGTTCTTTGTGGACTGATAAAGCTGCTTCGCCCTCCTGCAGGGGCGGTAATCAAAGAACCAGCCATTGAGTTCATATCAGAAACAGTCCCTGTTCCCCTTAATAGGATAAACATACTAAAATCTATACCCCTAAAGAAGCTAAGCAAGAAGGAGAGGACCCTGGGTAAGATGATCAAGTCTCATCCAGAAAGGCAAATGAGACAGACATCAGAAGAGGGAGAAAACAGGAAACAAGACAGCAGCCACCACAGAGGGCCTCTGAAAGACTCTACCTGGCAGGGTATCAAAGCAGATGCTGAAACTCATAGCCAAACATTGGGCAGAGTGCAGGGAATCTTTTGGAAGAAGGGGGAGATAGAAAGACCTGGAGGGGACAGGAGTTCTACAAGGAGAGCAACAGAACCAAAAAATCTGGGTCCAGGGGTCTTTTCTGAGACTGATACTCCAGCCAAGGACCATGCATGGAGATAACCTAGAACCCCTGCACAGATATAGCCCATGGCAGCTCAGTTTCTTTTCTATTTTTAAAACAGGATTTCTCTGGATAGCCACCGTGGCTGTTCTGGAAGCTTTGTGGTCCAGGCTGGCCTTGAAATCACAGAAATCAGCCTGCCCCTGCCTCCTGAGTGCTGGGATTTAAAGGCATGTGCCACCACACCTGGCTCTATTACCACTTTTCCTCATCACTTCTTTTCTTAAGCCAATTGAAAAAAAGTTGCAAAGATACAGAATTGTGTACCTCCCGAGAATAAAGATAATATATACAGAAGGGTAATTTCATTATTACTCCTGAGAGAGTGAACAATTTACAGCATCAACCAACAACAGACATCTTTTGAATACACACCATATGATCTAACATTTGCTTTTCTTAAGTAATATCTTGAGAGGCAGGTGGACTGTGGCAAGGTCCCATGCATGGCCTCCACCATTCTTTGGACTCTTCTCCAGCAGGCTTCTTCAGATCCAAGTGGCTACCTTCAGCCCTTGCGTCTTCACAGACAAGAAGAAAGATATATCAGCTACACCTGTCCCCTTGTATCAGGAAAGCCAACGTTTTCCAAGGTTTCCCTGGAAACTTGCCCTATAAAGTTTCTGCTCTACACACTAGCCGCAATGTAAATGACCAGAACGTAACTGGCTTAAACTAACTGAAATGTGTTGCCTGGGCTTCTGTTTGTGGGAAGAGAGGGAAACTTGTGTGAGTTTCTAGAGCAAATCATGATGTTCCCCGAAGGGAGTATCAATGAGAAGTCCCGAAACCAGTTTATGCTCAGCACAATGTCAGCATTCCTCCCTCCCTAGCCCTATCTGCTAAACCTCCCACCCACAGGCCTGACTTCTACAACATGTGCTACTTCGCCATTAAGGTGATAGAAACACTTCTGAATTTCAGCTCATGGCAGGTCTCCTGATCAAGGTCATCCTCTGCTATGTAGCAAGTTCAAGGCCCATCTAGGATACATGGAGAAAAATATAGAAAAAAAAGAGTATTTGTGTCTTAAATTATAAGGATAGAAAGAATAACCAGGATATGTTAGGGCTGAGTTTATCACTCAAATGATTTTGGTTAAATGGAGGCAGCAAAATGAAGAGTTACCGTACACCTTCCTAATCTTTTGTGTTGAAAGAAAGGCTCGTTTTCTTTATAGCAGAGATTAACTTACAGTAAAGAATGCATGAAATAACAAACTGAGGCTTTTTTTGGGGGGGGTCCCCTTTTCCTATTCTATGTTTTGAAACATCTTAAGGAGGAAGGGTGACCCTCCTTAAAGCAGCCAATACAAATGAGTTCTTTCGGCAAACCCTCTTATCTGCCAGGCTTATCCTTTGACCCACAGTCAGGCTCTGGACCACTGGGGAGGTCAGCTGAGTAAACTTACATTTCACAGAAGCCGCTCACAACAAAAGGATGTGGGCGTGCCCCGGTCATACGCTTCTTCTTTGAAGTGTCCTGGGGAGAATACAAATCTCGCCTGTAATAACACAAGCTTAAAACTTCCTAGGCATTCCTGCAGTTGCTCTGTAGGCCCCAGTTCTTCAAAGTTCCCCTGATAATTGTGGGGGCCCTCCTCAAGTCTTCCCCTAGAAGGCACTCATACTATTCAACCAGGGTATACACACCTAGCGATACTGACCATCTCACACTCTTTCCTTTCATCAGCTTAGTGTTTCCATTCAGGACATTTTATCTCTGTGCAAAGACAGGCGTTGAAGCTGATGAATGGATCAAAATACTGCGATGGAAGTTGGTGAGTTAAGAAAATCCCCAGATTTCTAGTCTTGGTAATTAACTGTTGATGTCGACAAGCCTGCTCTGGTGGTCAGTGCAGGGCCCTAGAATCAAGGGAAGTCTGTTTGCAGCTTTGCGGAATAGTCTGTGCATCCTTAAGGAGTACACAAAGAGAGAGGGGGTTGTGAGAAGGCAGAGTGGGGTACAGCCCACCTCTCAGCCTGTCCTTAAGACCAGCTGCTGGCAGTCTTCATCCAAGGTGTGTTGGTTACTCTCATTTTGTCTGGAAGAAGACATTGGGACTGGAAGGTATGTTGACATACGCTTCAACTTGGAAAGCATTTTGAATCATCAAGAAGGGAGCTCGGGGAGGATTGTGGTTCCCAGGGTAGGTTGCACTTTGTGTGTGTCAAGCACCAAAGGTGTTTTGTCTTCCTGCCGTGTACCTCCCAAGGGGAGGACAGTTAGAAGAATTACCTCTCATCCCCCCCCCCCATGCATATAATAGAGAGCTGGTAGCCAAGAAAAAGCTTCCTGAGATTTCCTGTAAGAGTAATATTGTTGTTTTTCTCATGAAATGCATGAGGCAAACTACTTACGAAGGAAAGGAGATTCACAGGTTTTGAGGTTCAAGGGCATAGCACTCACAGCAGCTCAACTTGTGAAGACCTCTTGGTAGAACTTAAACACAGGGTCAGGTGATGGTGGAAACGTCACACTTCCAAACGGGAAGCCAGAGATGAACTGGAGAGGGGGTGGGCCACTTCTAGAACTCTTCCCAGAACAAGGGCAATGCACCGGTGACCTAAGGACTTACTAGCAAGTTCTGTCTTTCAAAGGCCCCATCTCATCAACATAACAACCTTTGGAACCAAGCCTTTACGTATAGATCAAACCTTAGCATACTGTCTTGAAAACCTTGGGAAGACATCTTTTTCCTAATCTCTCTCTCTCTCTCTCTTTCTCTCTCTCTCTCTCTCTCTCTCTCTCTCTCTCTCTCTCTCATTCTTTCTCTCTCTCTCATTGGATCTATAGGCATTGCCTGAAAATGGATACTCTAAGGCCAGGCTTGTTGCTCAGTGGTGGGGTGCTTTTTCTGACTCTGCCAGAAAAAAGCAGGTTCTGTGAACATTGCTGAGCATCTGAGTCTGTCCCACCCACCCAATTTGAAATCGACGTCAGTACAGTGCTCATTCTGAGATTGCTCCGGGGCTGATTCTCAGTGGGGAAAAGCTTGGCCATGGCAAACCTGGGCTGAAAGGACTCTGTTCCTACTTCATGTGTTTTGTCATTATCCAAATGGCGCATTAATTATTATAGGAAAAAAATAAATTAAAAAAGTAGCTCAAAGGTACACTTTCAGATCCCCCCCTGGGCAAATGGATCTTTAAGAACAAAACACAGCCCTTCTCTGTTGGTTTTTCACCTGCTCCCACCACTTAACAGTATATTTTTGGCATCTAAGTCCACAGCTTCAGGCCCACGTCTTCCTTTTCACTGGGCAGTGTTGTGTCATGCTTTTCCAGGAGTATCAGATGGATTCCCAAATTGCACACATTGTAACAGCCCCTCAATGTCTCGAGGAAAAATTAACAAAACAAAACAAAACAAAACAAAACATTAAAACATGGTTGGTAAAGGTATGGAAATTTATAACTGCATGCTTGCTTTGCTGCTTAACATGTCTTCCTTACCATTTTAGAGTATCTTAAAGTGACTCAGTAATAGATGTATCTCTGTTTTATTACAGTCAAAAATAAGGAAACAGCTGGATCAAGGCGAAGACACCATCCGAACCCGGTCTTTCATCTTCAAATAGAACTTAGAAGCGCCTTGGCTGAGGGGCAAGGCGGAAGGTTCCAGGTGCTCTCATCTGTGGCAGGCTTCAGAGCAAAAGCTCACAGAAGGACTTCCTCTAAAAACAAATCAAAATAGATTGTGGTTGGGAGCTGTATGCCTTTTACTGAGTCACGGAAAACAGCTGGCAGGACCTGGCCATCTGAGAACATTGAAGCAGCACCCTGCTGATGGAAACTGCCTGACTTCCGCTTCCAGGTGGAGCCAGTCTCTGCACACAGAGCAAGAGTTTGCTTGCTGTCCCAGTGGCTTAGGCTTGTTGACTTCAGTTGCCTGGAGCCCTGCCCCAAGTCATGATCAGCACAACTGAAAACTTCAGGCCCTGCTACTAAACTGCAAGCAAACAGCAGTGCGGTAGGGGGCTCAGGCTGCTCTTTTAGAAAGCAAATTAAGATAATAAACAGCAAGGACTTTCAAAGAAGGGCTGCTTTTGTTTTGTTTCTAGACAAAGCCCTCAAAAGGGGCTGAAGAGGTGGCTCAGCCATTAAAAGTGCATCTGCTCTTGCAGAGAACCTGAACCCAGTGTCCAGACCCACTTGATGGGTCCCTTCAGAGGTGCCTTCAGAGGCGCCAATGCCTCTGGCCGCCTCGGGTGCCTGCACTCAGTACACATACTCACACTCTTACACATAATGAAAAAAAAATCATTAAAAAAAAAAGTTTCCAAAACTAAAATGAACAAGTGTTCAACGTATTTATTTTTTCTCTTAAAAGACTTAGAAACCAGGCTGGTGATCGGGCTTAGAAAGCCATCTTTGCATTTGCCGTGCCACGCTTGAGAACCTGAGTTATCACGCAGCGGTGGAAGGAGAGAACTCCACGTCACGGCCTGGGTGCCCCCAACACACACACACACACACACATACACACACACACACACGCACACACACTAATTATCTTGTAAAAGCCTAGAAATCCAGTGAATCCTTCCCTTCCAACAATGAACTGGAAGAACTACATGTCTTGTGGGTGACTTAGTTAGGAGAAAGGAAATGTACAAAAACAGGCGATAATGTTTTAAACAGCAAGAAAATGCACCTTGAGGAAGGGTGATAGGCAGTGGATAACTTTTATTGAATGGTTATCATTACGATTGTAATACACTTATAAGCACTAAGCTGACTTTTCTTCAGATCGATCGATTGAGACTCCTGCATAGAGGAAGCACTCTGCCTCTCTTCCCAGGATCCACTGTGTGAGATTAGCCCCATGGAATACCCCAACCTTTTTAAAGGGCAACTTCTGTTTTCTAAAAAGGGGAGTAAATCAAAGCTTCTAAGAATCCCTGATACACAGCGGTTGCAAACCGGAAATACCCAGGGATGAGCTGCAATGCAGTAATTGTGTTCAGAAGTCATGAACAGATCTTCACTTCTACCATTATTGATGTGGGCTTTTTTTTTTTTTTTTTAAGGAAGGGAAACAAATGGGTGCCGAGCTGATGGATTCTGTTCTTGCAGTGGAAAGGGACAATGGTTAAGCGCTTTCACCAATGTGACCAAGCTGCTTGCGTGAACAATTTATAGAAACTTCTTTGTGGTTCCAGATGTTTCAGCCCATCGTGCTGGGTGGGTAGGTTGTGGGGTAGCTGCTCACACCACAGCAGCCAGGGAAGCAGAGCAAGGAAGTAACAGGCGAGGGAGGAGGCCAGGCAGGGCCCCCAGGAACGTGACATACTCCCAACCAGTCTCCATCTTCCCCGGCTCTGTCACCTCCCGATAGTCTGCTCCAGTTCTCACTTATCCATCAATCAGACCTCTCACCTCTGGAATACTTTCAAAGACACACCTTACTCATCATGGTATTACTCAAGTTGTTATTTCTTTTCCTGTTGTTTAAACAACTAAGACTCAGAAATTATATTTTTGTTTCTTTCAGAGGGTTTTTAGAGATGGATTAGTATATGACCATATACTTGTCTAGCTGCAAGCAGGGGAAGGAGTAATATAACTTGCATGAAATAAAGCTATGTCAAGATAAAATGTGTTGAGTCAAGTCTGCAAAATAAGGAATAACAAATGGCTCCTCCTTGAGATGTATGGTTTTGTTTTCTTAGAAACAAGTCTTTCTTTACGTAAGTGAATATTTTCTACCTTCTGTAAAATATGTTTATTTATATATCCTTTGATTGTTTATTAAATAAAACGTGCATGGTTTTGTTGTACATGTCCCATTTTGTTATTGTAACATTTGTATTGCTTTTGAAGTAGAATAAGATAGAAAGGACTAATTGTTAGACACTGATACAGTAGGGATTTATTTACTCAAAGCTCTGCTTGTCCTGCCTATTTGCCAAGCATGGGTGGCTTCACTTGCTACCTGGAGCAGAACGACCTGGAGAAATCGATGAAACAATGGGTCATTGCCCCTAACAAACTGCTGACTGCCACGGAAGCTTCTGTAAAAACTTGCCCACTTGCCTGCTCACCTTATGGATTTAGAGTATAATGTGGGAATTCAAACTGGACCCATGGTGGAAGCCTCTCAGGAGCTGCCCTGGCTATGCTCCATTGGTGACATCACCTCTCTTCCACTCTCAACGCTGTGGGAATGCTTACTCCAGAAAGATTCCCACAACCAATTTAATATCATAAATAGCGATGGCACTTCAGTTAGTTTAGAGTAGGAGGCACGGAAAGCTGGAATCTTGGGAAATCTTCCCATTCCTCCAGGGATTTGGCTCTGAACAAGGCAATAAATACATATATGACCTTGCATAGTAGTCAATGCTGTGAGGGGTCTGCAAAGCCATGAAGGAGCGTGAGCAGGACATTAGACCAATTGTTAGAGGGGCTGGCATGAAGCGGGAACTACCATATACCCTTTATTTCCCTAGAACCAAGCCTGGCAAATGCTTTACCCACTCTTGGCTGTCCAGTGAGAACACCACGCTTCTACCTCCTGGGAAGAGCCTGGTGAGGGACTTTTGGTTAGTTCTTCAGAATGGCAGAAGGGAGGGTGTTATGTGCAGATGGCAGATCAGAGAAAGGGGATGTGGGAGAATCGCGAATGAGGATTGGATTCTCTTCCCCCTGTGAAGGCACAGCCAAATGCCAGCAATTACTGTCAAGATTCCTTGCAGGGAAATGCTCCACATATTCCCTCTAGAATAGTAAACTCTCCTGTCTTGGATGAGGAAAGACTGGCATAGTCTGGGGGGAGCCGTGCCCTGCTTCAGAGGCCCTGGGCATCACAACACTTTGGGAGGTGCTCCTTCTCTCTGCTCATTCCTACCCTGGTGGCATGCAGCAGTGCCTTGGCCTCCCCCCAAGCCCCCCGACTGATGATGTGGGCCTGCTCAGGCAGCAAACGTGAAGACTACAGTAGAGGACATAGATCCTCCTTCCCCCTCCGTCCACACTTCAGACCTTCACCGGTCTCTTCCTCAGCAAGGAAACTCTATGGCGGAGGCCAGGCTTGAGCCTCCTCTCTGTTCGCCATGGTTTCGAGTTGACTGGCCAGGGCTGCAAGTACAGTTCCTTAGCCAGCCGTGCTGGAGGGCCAGTTTTACTTTTTAAACATTTCTGGTCTCTCATAGACAGGGATTCTGTAAAACTCCATTAAAATTGCCTTAAGGGGGCTGGAGAGGGGGCCAGAGATAGGTTCCTAGGACCCACATCAGAGAACACACAACCTTTTGTAACTCCAGCTTCAGGGGTTCCAGTGCCTGTTCTGGCCTCTACAGGTATGGGTGCATACACATGCACATATCCCAACCCTACCACACTCATGCATGTACCCAACCCCACCACACACATCCACATACCCACCCCTACCACATAATACACACAAACAACAAATTAAAGTGAAGCTCTAAATTCCATTTTAAATATTAGGTTCGACAGACATAGTTTCTGTATCAAACTAGTATAAATTATTTTTTTTCCCTGCTGGAAAGAAGCAAGTAGTTAAGCATCAATTTCTGTATTTTCTGTCAGCGGAGAGAACAGGCTGGTCTGTGGGCCACATTTTGAGTAGGGAAAGTACAGCAGTCTGGCAGGCAAAAGAAGGAAAGAGTCTATGGAAGGCTGAGAGGCTTTGAGCAGCAAATGTTTAGCTATGGGCAGGACTCCTCCAGTGAGCTGCAAGGTCTTTGGAGCAAGAGGAAAAAGTCGTGAGTGGAGATGGTCTCCATCTCTGGGCTACTGCACAGTTCTACTTCCCAGTTTCTCACCCTACCCCTTATAATGAATAGTCATGTAAACCTACCGATCTGCCTGAGAACGGACACACCTTTCTCCCCAGGATCTCACTTTGTTTTGCTGACCTATTTTAAAACTTCTATTTGTTGTTATTGTGTGTGATGCGGTCAGTCTGAGTCCAATCCCCAGCCTTACACAGCAGGAGGACTAAGTTGTCCTTTGCCTCTACATGTGTATGCACACATACTGATGAGGTGTAATTTTAAGTTATTCCTCTTTCCTGTTACCTCTACAAAAGGATATGAGCAATTCCCACATGCATAATCTTACAGACAGTTAATAATGTATCCATACATTCCCTGAGACAGAAGCCCAACAGTGGCATTAACAGTTCACAATCCTCAGGCTACGCATCCCTGCTCACACATTTCTTTTCCTGAAATCTTTAGATGATGTGGTCATTCTTTTCCGCAGTAGAGGATTGAGGCCTGGGCCTCAGGGCCACCACGGAGTAAGTGCTCTGTCACTCAGCTATGTCCCCATCCTTTTAAACCAGTTGTTTGAGAAAGTCATTCGGTTGTCCATGCTGGCCTCAAACTTGCCATTCTTCTGCTCAGCCTCCCAATTATCCTGGCTAATTACACAATTAAATTTGCTATTTTATTCTATTATTACATTTCTGTTTCATGCACCACATCACTGGCAAGAATTTTGTAGGCATTATTAAGTGGCAACTCAATGAGAATTCTGAATCTTAATGGGTGTATATCATAGTTCATTAACAGTTTAGAGCCCCCTAAAGACAATAAAACTTTCTCTCCTACTCTTTTGTTGTCTGCTTTAAGGAGCCCTACTTTGTGGCTCTGCAGTGCTTTCTGTCTCTCTCATAGCACTTCATATGCCCACTTCTTTTACTCCCATTGCATTTCATATTGTACTGGGAGAGGAGGGGAAGGAAAAGCGGCAGGTGCTCACCAACTGGCTCATGCGGAATCTAAGGACAGCACCTGCACTTACTCCATGTGAAAGGCTGTACCCTGGGCAGACAGTCATGTGTACAGCTGTGCAAGAGCGCTGGAGACTGGCACACAGCATTAGGTGTGCACTGAACCACCCCAGTGACAAACGAACAAGGAGAGCTAGACTTGAGTGGCTGATCCACTCCTGAGCCTCTAAGCCATTTAAGCGGAGATAACCTCTTTCTGGTGATTCGGTCAGGCTCATGTTTAAGTTTTTTTGTTTGTTTGTTTTTGGTTTTTTTTGACAGTTTATACTAGGTACAACAATCTCTAATACAATCCCTAGAAGAATTATTCACTGCTTATTCATGGGGCTGAAGGACAGAATTATGTCCATTAAACTTTTCAATGTCTGAAAAAAGAGGCCCATACAAAATTCATTCTGTATTTTTAAAAATATCATTTTATTTATACTCATATATGAAAAATGGCTATACTTGTCATTTTTATATACATACTGATATTGGAAACAGAACTCGGTAACATGGCATTTCAACTGTATAAAGAACACAATCATTAAAGCACTGTTACAGAAAGAGTAGAAGACAAATCAAAAGCAGTGATTTCCATTCTCACTGAAGAGCAGCACCCTCAGGGAAGAATCAAATCCATTAGTAACACTCATCTACACTGAGATCAGATACAGAAGAAAGTTAGTGATTGTACTTACGTTATTATTTTTACTAAGCCATTTCATCTTCCTCATACTCAATGCAAAGAAATAAAATATGATCTTCAGAAAAATACGTCCTCATTATTATTCTCAGTATAAGGGTCTGTGGCTTGTGGAGTGGGAGCAGTGTACAGCAGGTGTGCTTGCTGGCTCAAGGGCATTTGTACCTTCCTGACCCTGATGCACTGGACAGAATACCACTCATTATCTGTCACCTGCACTAACTCCATGGGAGCTGCAATAGAATGAACCATTTCTGTGGTGTTTCCAGATCTCACTAAGTAAGAAAAGATTTTATACACATAAATATAACAATTGATCTGTCTATAAATTACAGGGATAGGCTCTTCTTTAATGTAAGGTGGAAAAGCGGCCCTTTGAATTCATAGATAAGTACTACTGTGGTCTGAAGGTTGCTGGACTGGTACAGTGTTGTTGCAATGAAGAAAAGGTGTACATCAAAACCACTATTAGATTAAGACACTTCCACAACTTTTATCAGTTCTTCAAATAACGGAGCCAGCTCCTTTTCTAGGCTGACAATAAGTCCTAAAAGAAAGTTAAAAAAATTAGAATGTTAGAAAATTATCTTATGAACTCTGAGCTAAAATAAACTGTTTCTCCTCCTGTTGCTTTTGTCAGAGTATTTCACCACAGCAACAGAAAAGAAACTGAGAAACTATCTCTAAATTCTCAATCACATTCAACTTTTCTAATCGGATTCAAAATCTCAACATTGTAATTTAACTGACTCATCTACAGCATTAAGCCATGTTCAGCATCCAGTATGTGTAATGTTGAGTTTATGTTCTGTAACCTTTCCTTTTCATGGGCTGCTTTAAAGTGAGCAATGGACAGCACACAAAATGCAACATTGAAATACTAGTTCCTAGTGCAAATAATCAATGTCTTGCTCCACCTCATGTGCAGCTGAAAATGACCCTGTGAAATGGAGACAAGGCCCAAATATGCAGATATGGGACCTAGGACTCCAGTTCAAGAGAAAATGATGATGAAGCTGAGCTACACATGCAGGTTTTCCCACTGCATGGCTGTCATTCCTAGTCTAGCATGCTGCATAGGCATGGTACTAGGAAGAATTAAAATCTGCATTTGCAACACTTCTAACATACCTGTGTTAGCATTACTGCTGGCTATGAAACTCACCACCAGAGGTAAACGATTGAACTGAACCACCTGAAAGAAAAATAAGCTCTAAATAGTAATGGTGCATGGTGAACAACAAGTTTAAACAGCTGACCACTGAACTGTCACGGCAAGTGTTTACCTGTTATGACAGAGGAGGTGTGTTGAGAAATCGCAGGTGTGCAAGCTAATGGCACCATCTACTGGAATTAACAGTGATCTAATGCACACTTTATAGGATAACAAACTCTTTTTATTTAAAGTTTTAAGAACTTCTCCATAATAATTATTCCCTGGTATAAAAAGATTTTTAAAAGGTTACTTTTAACATTAAGCAATTTTAAGGCTAAATTTTAAAAAATTCTATCCCCCTCATATTAAAATTTAGACTTTTACCAAAAACAATCTATACAAAAGATATAAGAATGACGGGTGAGATCAGTGAAGCATTCGGTAGCTATACACTGAATATACTGACCTGATAGGTATTATAGTAGCAGATGATGCTTTTATTTTTGGAAAGACCAAGTTTGCTGCCTTGGTCCGTTGCAAGAGCAAATGTGGATAAGAAGCCAGGCCGCAGGGCATGCTCTGGAGCATTGTCGTTAGCCACTGGGAAGGAACAATTACATAAAAATTACATAGAGTACAGTGGGAAGAGTTTAACAGCAACTTTTTAAAAACCATAAACCCATAAAAGCCTAGGCACAAACATGCATTTACCGTCTTGAAAACCCTAGCACCAACTGGGCCTCATCAATTTGGGTGGTGAAGATTGCTTAAGCAGAAGTTCAGTGATCATAAAATACTAAGGGAAGGAATGCTGACTTACGTGTAATAAAGTGAATACTGTGGTCACCTGAGACTATGCTGAAATAAAATGGAAATAGCTACAAAGTTTTTTGCTCTCATAAAACCCCCAAGAGCAGTACTAGTGCTAACTGCATCAGCCTAGTATGGAGTTTCAGCTGGAGAATCACCCGAGCCCTCTTAACAGGGGTGAGAAAAGGGAGGTGATCTGCTCATAGCTGCCCATGCTGTGTGGTGGGTGACACACTAAATTTATCATGTCTTGTCACCAACTGAGTGCACAGCTCTGGACAGATAGTGTGCTCTCTGCACATAATCATGTAATGTATAACATGGAAAACTAAACCGGTGATGTCTGAAGTGTATTTTAATCCTAATGTATAAAATTGCCTGATATGTTTGTCCTGATGTGGAAAAGAAATTTTAAACAAAATACGTAAGATGTTGTTCAATCTTTGGTAAGTGAAACTAGCAACGCCACCTTGATGACACCAGAAAAACAAGCAGTACATGATCTGAGTTCACACTGGCTCTGTTACAGCAAACAGACATTTTATAAAAAGCTGAGAACAGTCAAAACCATGTTGGGTGGGCTTGGAGGTGCCAGTGAATATGATCAAAACACACTGCATGCATGCATAAAATGCTCAGGAATTCATACAGACATATTTTTTTAAAAAACTTCTGAGTAGCTAAAGTAACCATTACATTAAAGTTTTAAGAAATGTATTGCTAGTAAAGAAGCAAAAATAACCACAGAATATTAAAAACAATCAAGTTGAGCTAGTGATGTGGTTGAGGGGTTGACTGCCTGCCTTGCACACTCACTTTCAACACTGAAGATACAGTTAATGGCTTGCATTATACCCTAAGCATCTTCAGTGGGCAACCAAGCCCATGGTAAGTGCACACAGAAATTCCAGATGTTACCTGTGGGTCACCATAGGTTCCATACCAAGTCCCCAACAAAGTGCACGCGTCCTCAAACAACTACAACAGTCTTTCCAGTTTGTTGAAATAAGCTTTATATATTTTTAATTATTTAAATACAAAACTTTGTTGTCAAAAGTAAATGCACCATAATCATCAAGTACTCAGCTTTACCTTTAATAACAGGCACCCCATCTCTATCTGACACAACAATTGCATGGAGCCCTTCAACGCTACAAGAAAACAAAATTCAGTATTAAAAAAAATCATTTTTAATTCTACAAACATGTACTTCAGACTTATGGTAGATAATTTTCAAGCATATATATATATATATATATATATATATATATATATATATATATATATGCATATGGGGTGAGCATGACGGTGTGCATGCGGAAGTCAGAGGACAGTCTCAGGTCTCTTGTCTGCCACTTTATATGCCAGAACAGCTGGCCATGAGCTTCCAAGGATTCTCCGGTTCCCACCTTCCATTTCTGTATAGGAACGTGACTTCATTCACGTTCTGAGGACCCAAACTTACACTTGCTCGGATTAAAAGTGTGTGCCACCACTGCCCAGCCTCATTAATTAAAAAGAAAACAAACAAACAAAAACACGTGTGCCTACTTGTATATGTACCATAATCATGAAGGTGCCTTCCTAGGCCAGAAGAGATCGTCAAATTCCCTGGAACTGGAGTTGTAGTGGTTGTGAATCACCCAACAAGGGTACTGAGAACTGACCCCACCCGTGTCTTTTACAAGAGCAGGAAGTGTTCTTAACTACTGGACCATCTATGTAGTCCCTCAAAGTTATATATATATATATATATATATATATATATATAACAAAAAACCCTCCAGCTGTGAAAAATGTACCTTAAGCAACAAACGTGTAAAATGTGTAAGCAAGCCTTATGTGTGCTTGTATGTTGCACACACAAAGTGCACTCACATCTGTGTCTTTTTCTACGTACATAAATACCTCTGACACCAGATGCTTCCACCAGCAGAACTATGTGACATAGGAAGCGTTGGAATCTTGAGTTTTGTGAGTATATTGTCTACTCAAACAAACAAACAACCCCCCCCCAAAAAAAAAAACAAATTGAAAGACAGGTGCTCAATATGTTATAAAAAATGTTTAGAAAAATCTGTACAGCACAAGTTTTTCTAATTTCCACAGTAATTAATTTAAATAGTAACTAATGCACCAAAAGAGGCTGTTATAAAGTAGGATGTTCCTTTTAATGGATTACAAATCCACAGAGGCACATGCCTAAGAATACAGAACAACTACATTCTAGGTCACAAACATAAAAGCTGTTTTCAATTCCATACACAACGAAGAGTGGTTTGAATAGATTTTACTAATAATTGTTGAACCCTCAACAGACACAGTTATAAAAAATAAATTTAATTAATCAGCAAAAGTCTAAAGCTTACTAACTTTTTTCATTCTAAAAACTGTTATGTTAGTACTGAGGACATCGTCCGGGGCTGGCGGTGTAGCTAAGTCCTTGCGGCCGGCACCAGGCCTTGGCACTTTACCCGCCACCCTTGCAAGGCTCCCACGAAAGGCAGGAACCAAACTGTTTTCATATAGTTAGAAAATATTGCTATTGTAAAATACGGAAAACCTGAGTTGTTGTTTTTGTTTTTGTTTTTTTGGTTTTTTTGGCAGGGGGAACAGGTGTCCCATCTAGATTTTCAAATACAAACCCAAGAGCAACATTTAAGAGAATAAAAGCCCATTTTATTGCTACCTAGAGCTACCTGACTGTCTTAAGTACAGAAATAAAGCAGTTAAAAACCAGAGATTAGTGAAGCTGGAGATATGTCTCAGTGGTTGAGGGCTGATGTTCTTCCAAAGAACCTAGGTTCGATTCCCAGCACAAACATGTTGGCTTATAACCACCTGGAACTCCAGTGCCAGGACACCCTCTTCTGGCCTCCACAGACACCAGCCGTGACATGGTGCAGAGACACACATGCATACAAAATACCCCTACACAGAAATAAAAATTTAAAAGGGAACATACAAGACTGCACCAACCCATCAAACCCACACAGTTAGCAACAAATCAGCGTTCACAGTGCTACTGCTTCTTTCTTTTTGTTCCTTTTCTTTTGAAGATTTCTTTATTTTATTATGGATACAATATTCTGCCTGCTGTACACCTGAATGCCAGAAGAGGGCACCAGATCTCATTATAGATGGTTGGGAGCCACCATGTGGTTGCTGGGAACTGAACTCAGGACCTGTAGAAGATCAACCAGTGCTCTTAACCTCTGAGCCAGCTCTCCAGCCTCTGTTTTTTTGTTCCTAATGTATAATAAACCCACTTTCAAGAGATGATCTGCAAATATGAATCAGAATGGTCTCAGTCCTTATGAAAATTGGCACTAGTCCCTTCCCTGCTAATATGCTATGACTAATATTCTTGCCTCTTTGGAAGTGCTGCAGATCAAACATGGGACCTTCCAAGTGTGAGGCAAATACTCTGTTACTGAGATACTTTCCCAGGGTATCTTTATGATATTCTTAAATTGCACATATGTCTTGTATGAGCCCTACCATATGGTGCTTTCTGTTTGGTTAAAGGTAAAATTGTCAGAGTTCAAAAAGAAAACAAACATTTACTTTCAACTAATTACGGTCACCATTAAAGCTCAGATAGAAAGTCACGGGTACTCACTGGAGGTGAATTTACTGACATGAATAAGGAGAGCAACTGGATAAAAGCATTACAACAAACACATCAAAGGAAACCTCTAGGATTTCACAGCATGGAAAACACAAAGGATGAAACATGTAAAGCTCATCAAAGATGAAGCACATCAATTTGTGAAACACAGAATAGAAAAGATGCCTGTTCCTTCTCTAGAGACATGAAAAAAACAGAAGCTCCTTGAAATGACTCTTGATGAATCAATGTTTCCTTTGCTTTTAGCTGCTGTTTCAAATATTCTTATTTATCGTATGTGTGGTGTTGGCTCTATACTTCAGCCATGCATGGCACACTCTCCACCTCAGTCTTTACAGCACTGCCCTTTAACCACTGAGCCATCTAACCATCCTTGTTTTACAGAATCTCATGTAGCCCAGGCTGGCTTTGAACTTCTGTCGCCTTTCAAATGCTTATCCACCATGCCCAGCTCACTTCCACAATGTATTTAATGTTTTTGTGTCCTAAGCAAATACTAGGTACTGTATTTGTTTTTGTGCTAGTTAGTTTTCTTTTGTCAAGTTGATACAGAGTAGGGTGTTCTGAAAAGAGGAACTCTCAACTGAGAGCATGCCTCCTCCATCGACTAGCCTGTAGGTGAGTCTGCAGGGCATTTTCTTGCTTAAGGATTGCTGTAGAAGGTCTGAGCCTATGGTGGGTAGCACCACCCCAGGGCAGGTGGTGTAGAGTTGTATAAAAATGAAAGCTGAGCTAGGCGTGGTGGTGCATGTCTGTTATCCCAGCACTCAGGGAAGCAGAGGCAGACAGATCTCTGTTAGTCTGAGGCCAGCCTAGTCTACAAAGAGAGTCCATGACAGCCAAGACTACACAGAGAAACCCTGTCCTAGGGCTGGAAGAAGGGGGATGCAAGCTGAGTAAGCCATGGAGAGGCAAGCCAGTAAGCAACATTCCTCCATGGGCTTCTGCTTCAGTTTCTGCCCTGACCTTTCCTGATGAACTGTAATCTGTAAGATGAAAAAAGCTCGTTCTCCTCATGTTGCTTTTAGTCAGTGTTTTATTATAGCAATAGAAAGCAAATAAGGACAGTCTGCATTTCCCAAGATTTTTGTAATCAACAATATGAACAATTTAAATGTTTTGAAAAGTTATAAGGTTACAACGCAACTCTTATTTTCCCCCTTAATCACTAACACTCCATCATGCTAGCCTGCTCCCCTGCCAGGTTTTAGCCTGGTCTATTGCTTCTATTGCCATTCATTACCTACCATGCAAAGCTAGAACTGCCTGTCATGTTGCCTTTTTGTGTAAAAAAGAACCAGCAGCTGGTCTCTATAATTTGCCATTTTATTAAGAGGAAGTGAATTAAAATTAATTTAAAGATTACATTAACATAAAACCGATGATAGTCATTATTTCACTTAACACACCAATAGGGTTTTCTTCATGAATACGTAAAATACAACATATAAATCAAAACCAGAACACACTGTCATTAATGTCCACTGACCTATAATCAGAGTACAAGCTAAGCCAGTATTCAAGCAAGTCTGACTGAATGTTAATTTTTCCAGCCTACAGAAACAAAGTGATATCCACATACAACCACTCAAAACTTTAGAGTGGGGAGCTAAGAGAAAGGGCTTCATAGAATATTCTGCTAGATGGCCTCAAGGCTGTTTGATCCAATCTGACTGCTTTGTTCTGGAATGTGAAAACAAGACCCAGGTCATTCTTTCCTTCCCTCTTATCTCTTCCTGAATAAACACAAATTTTCAGGTATCTGTAAACAGTTATGAATGTAGACAAAAGAGGTGCTTGCCAACAAAGACATCTTTTTACATTAAACTAACGGTCAGTTTTAATGAGTTCAAGTGAGAAAATCTCTAGATTAGTAAAATATGTAGAAAGAAATTTGCTAACCTCAACACCTGGGCCTTTGTCAAAGGGCACAGCACAGCTCAGTGTGGAGGCAGAAGAAGACTGTTTGATGTCTCAGGCATGAACTGCTGTCTGAGTCCAGCACTTCTGGATTATGTTGACCCAGAAACTGGGTCCCAATAATAACATTAAACATAATGGTAAGTTTTTAATCTTTTTCTTGAATCTACTTAAGAACTTTAAACAATAATCCAATAAACAACTATGATAGTGTGTTTAAAAAACCAAACTTGAAAGTGGCAAGAGGTCTAAGCTCTGGCTCCAGCATCTGCTTCCTACTGAACCATAAACAGGTCATACGGCACCTCTAGATTCATGCTCTTTATCTATAAACTCAAATCATTAGTTAGGATACTTGGGGTTAGTCATGTATTTAAATGTGTTAAGTAATTACCAAGACATATGTAAAATACTAATTTAAAAAGGAGGAACAAAATACTTTGAAAGATTAACGTGTTACCCCGAATTTATCCAGAAACAAACTAATAATTTCTTACCTTGGTAATTTTTTGTATAGGAATCTCTTTAGATCCTGAAAGAGAATAATTTTTAAATGTATTAGAGTATGCTTTTCGAGTCCTGTCCATATCCGCCTTTAAAGGACACGAAGTCACCTTTTGTAACCAGTGTTTCATCTTTAGTTGGTACACTTTGGAAGAAGTTAACTAATCTTCTAATCTTTTTACTAGGCCTCAGTTTCATTATATGTTTCATTACATGTATATAGGGATAATCACAGACCCGACATCATAAAAATGCTGTAGAGTTGTAGTAAGGTATATATGATAATGTACTTTCTATTGGGAAACACAAATACACATTTGCCGTAGACCGAGATCATGTGTTTCGTGATAATTTACAGCCTGATGCTGATGTATTTACTTCGGGGTAGTCTATAAATCTCTTTCCATGTCAATACAGAGTCTCCATAATCGTTCTTAATGATCCTAAGTCAGTTACATAAACTGCTCTAAAGTTCAGTTTCCCGACAACGATAATGACAATGTGAAGTATTTGACATGGAACATGGTTAGAGCTAAGGGAACAGCACTATACCTTGTCTCATTTCACACTCATCTGGAAACATTCAATGACACTTCAGGTACCAACTACGACCTCCCCCACTAAACGTGTGCTGTTTTGCACCTCTATCTCCAAACCTGAATGAGCATTTTCCCCCCCATGCTATCACCACGAACTTACTTTTGCTCTCATCTTAAACAGACACACAAAACCGGAACACAGGTTGCCAAAGGGCACCAGTTAGAAATCCTTTTAGATTGCAACACTGACCCTAACGAGACATCATGAGCATTTAGTGGGAATAGATTCAGAGCACTGTCCTACGGAACGGGCACAGACGGGAAAGGCAGTTAGCCATCCTTTAGAATTTCAAATGTTAACTACACAGGGTTCTTGCACGGCCCCATAAGATTAGCAAGAGGGAAGAATATAGTTGTCTCAGGCTAAGGCACCCTAGTGACTCCACTACAACCGTTCCAGAGAGAAACTCAGGACACCTGCAAGTCATTCTCAATTAGTAGAGGGACGGAGCTGAGGAAGGAACAAATCTCTAGCCCCAGTCACCACCCCCAGTCAGTAGCTTCATGCAAACCTCCCACATCCCCTTTCTCTCGGGAAGGAGTGTCAACTCACATCCGCCATGATGAACCCCTTTCTCTCGCAGGATCAGTCTCCACGCCTGTAAGGGAAACGTCCGTGACTCTCCCCGCACCCCGGGCTTATTCACCCACCCCAGCCCCAGCATCACGAGATCCACCTACGCCAGGGCCAGGCGACAGTTCTGGCTCTCCATCAAAGGGGTGAGGGGGTCCCTAGCACCCTGCCGGGTGGCCAGCCCGCACGGCCCACACCTCCGCCCGCCCACCCTGTCCCCGCGCCGGGAGAAGGGGCGACCTCTGCAGACGCACGCGCGCTCCAGCCTGGGGCGACCTGCCGGGGTGTCCCCGCAGTCCAGTCGCCTCTCCGGAGCCGCCTGTCAAGCCGCTGTCACATGACTCGTGACCTCCGCGGCGCCCCCGGAAGCACTTGCTACGCCCTCCGCTCCCTCCCGTCCCGAAGTTCCGGGCAAGCCCGGCGGAAACTGCGCGCGCGGCCGCCCAGCCCCGGGTTGGTTCTGCTCCTGCGCGCTGTGCGAAGCGACGCCGGGGGCCCCGCGCCGAGCTTTCCACCCAACGCGCTCCCCGCTGGAGACGTTCCCGTGTGGAGTACGCGTGCGCCTTTTCCAGACCCGTTATCTGAATCTTTTCTTGCGAATGGAGACACTTAGCACGAGCTGAACAGCCTATTCCTTCCAAGTCCCAGGTCCCTAGACGACCCCATTATCCGGTCCCCTCAGTTTCCTATGGTGCTCCCCTATGAGCTCTTTACTTGAGTTCTTGCCTAGAGCCAGTGCAGGAGCCCTGCGGCTGTGGGCTCGTTTGCCAAGCCTGTTTTCAACATGCATGCACTGGTTGCGTCTTCTATCTTTTGTATGGTGTTTGTACATTCGAAAAAGCCTACTGTAAGGGGAAGGCTGGAATGCTTTGCAGAAGGGAGGCCTCTCTAACAGCCTAGGCCCAGTGTTTCTCAACTGCTGACGCTCTGATAATTCTTTGTGGCAGAGGGCTGCACTGAGGGCGACTCCAGTAGAGACCCCGGAACAAATGGAAATCACCTGGAACCAAAATACACCCCAGTGGCTGACTGCCTGAGCTTCGGGAACTGAAGTTGATTGCCTTGTGCTGCAGATTTTTTTTTTTTTTAAACCTCGTGTGTTCTTAACAGTAAGGTACCTTGTAAAAACCAACCAAACAAACAAAAAACCGTAGGATCTAAGAGAATACGTACCTAATCTTTATTTCCAACCCCTAAAATTAGGGGCGCCAACACCCAAAGACATGGTGGAAATCTCATCTACTTATTACCTACAGTTGTCCGAGAGGATGAAAATGTTAAATCCTCAGCTCAACAAATGATGTCCTTCTAGTCATTTCAGACTGTTACAACTGACATGAGAAATTGAAAGGGGCATTTTTAAAAGTCACTTCCTTTCCACTATTTAAAGCCTTCAATTAAAAAATTATTTGGGTTGGAGAGAGAACTCAGTGGTTAAGAGCACTGACTGTTCTTCCAGAGGACCCAGGTTCAAATCCCAGCAATCACACGGCAGCACACAGTTGTCTGTGACTCCAATTCCAGGGGATCTGACACCTTCACATGGACATACATACAGGCAAAACGCCAATGCACATAAATATTTGACAGGGTCTCACTGTATACCCGGATGACCTAGAATTTCCTATGTAGACCAAGCTGGCCTCAACCTCACTGAAATCCAACTTCCTTTGCTTCCTGAGTTCTGGGACTTTTAAAAGGCTAGCCAACACACCCAGCCCTATGAGATACTGTATAACACACTCAGGGCCCCATTCTCTGTGAGTCTCCTAACTCATCAAGTGATGGCATGTTTGTTTGTTTACTGAAGTGTTATTGCTTCAACAATGCCAGGAGAATTTATTCTGGACCTACACTTTTCATCTGTGTTCTGTCTTCGTTTTCTCTTGCTTACTGAAAGTTGGACATTCTTTCCTGTCTGTGCTCCAACTCAGAGGCTCAGAACGCCAATGCGCCTGTTTCTCCTTTTAGTTGTATTGAAATCATGACTCTGTAGGTGAACAGTCATTTATTGACGTCTTCCCTTGTACCCTGTCTTCTCTAACAGTGACTTTTGCAGGTATGCCTTCAAGTTCTTGATTGAAGCCATTACTTCTGTTCAGTGAGACTAAATCAACCCCCACCTGTGTTACTCAGCTTCCTGTCAATCAGTGTAATAGTCAACTTAGCTTTGACTTAGGTTTAGAAGCTTCTGTTCATGACTGATAGGTATCATTACTTTCTACTAGCACATCACAATGTAGGCATACAGGGAGACAAGTGCTCAAGTTTTGCCATATAAACCTTTGGGAGATACTGAAGAGCCACACTACACCAATGACACTACACTTAATGACAGCAAACAAAACTCAACAGAAGCAAACATCATCAGCTGCTCGACAACTTGTTAGGAACAGATCACTGTGGCCTTCAATTACACTCTTAAGAACCCAAATCTGATGCTATGTCCCTCCTTAAAAATCCAAGTTTTTTTTTACAACTAACGTATAATACCAGCACCATGATTTGTATATCATCTTCTGAAGATTAGTACCCTATCTTAAGTCTCTCACCTACTTGGGAATTCTTATTCTAAATCATCACACAAGTTTATTTTCATAAAGTTTTAATACTTTTATTCTTTGAGACTTCTGTGCAATGTATTTTAATCATATTTAATCCACCTCCCTAACTCCTCTGCCCTTACTTCCCCCAGGTCTGCTCCCATGTCCCCACCCCACCCCAACCCCCCTTAGTAACCCATCAAGTCCAGTTTGTGCTGCTCATCTACTTCTGGGCCTGTAGAATTAACCAATAGGGTGTGGTCACCAGGGACCACCCTTAAGGAAAATTGGCACTCCTTCTCTCAAAAGCCATCAATCAACGATAGCTTTTCCGTTACAGGTGGGGCTCGTGACCTCCTCCTCATTACATGCTAGAATGTTGATGGGTTTCATCTTTTGGGTTTTAGCTTAAGTTTACTCTTTCAGTGAAATCTTCCTTGACATTTCCAGAATACTTTGGGTACTCTAGATAAATGTTCTCTCTGTAATTTGTGATTGTCTCAAATTTATATAAATTAAAATTAGTTATTTTATATAATATATAATGTTTATATAATGTTTCCTTGATTACATTTACACTTAGAGCTTTGCCTTAATCAGTGAATAATTCCCAGCTTCTACTTCATTACCTGTGACACAGCAGGGATGTATTCAGTTCATACATTTGTTGAATGGTTAAATGAATGAGCATATCAAGAGGATAAAATCTGCTGGGCACGGTGGCACATGCCTTTCTTTAATCCCAGCCCATGGGAGGCAGAAGCAGGCAGATCTCTATGAGTTCCAGGCCAACTGGTCTACATAGTGAATTCCAAGACAGCGAGAGCTATATAGTGAAATGCTGTCTTAAAAAGAAAAAGAAAAGAAAAAAGATAAAGTATAATGAAGACAAGCCTTTTATGGTGAGAACATCCCTTCTTTTTATTAATATGCTGAGATAAATTACAGAGACTGAGACAAAAATTTGTAAATCATTCATTAGAACATCCATTAAAAATCAAAAGCAGCTTAAGAGTTCTCACACGAAATCTTATATAAGTCTGATATAATATTAAATTTTTACAAATCAGACCTTTTGTTTTTAAACCTAATTATGTGATCTTGAATGCACTACCGGAGATCGCCTTTACCAATAGCACTTCATTTTACACACACAAGGCTTCCATTAAAATCTCACCAAACCTTGAAAACCTATGTCACACCTTAGAAAATACCTGTAGCTTAAAACACAAAACAATAACAACAAAACCCAAATCTTTAAATGGAAGGTCTTACACAGCAATCTAAAGACCAGAAATAAAGCAAAGATGAAGCACTTCTTAATACAAATAAATTACAAATACCAAATGTCTCTTACTGTAGTCACCCAACCAAAAACCAATTAATTTTGAAGGTAATGATGAAAGGCTATGGTGTCACTCAAAGTCCGCTCCTATGTGAACGTTACCCTGGAAAGGCTAAGCATAATCTTACAGTGAAACCAGCAAGACTTGCTGGCACTTGCATCAGGTGTCTGTCACCTCTTTGCAGTTATGACACATCTCAGCAACCAGTCACCCCAAGTTTTAATAACTTATTAGACCAGGTCATTTCAAGGACCACTTCTGGGTTACCAGACTCAGAAAAATACCATTTTAGATGGCATGCGGGCCTTCCAATAGGAATGTGCATTAAAACGTAGAGATCAACTGAGAGATTTCACACCAATAAAATTCTATTGACTAATGATCAAATTTTGAAATAAGAACCTACTAATGGAAGCCCTGCACTGTGCAAACAATATGGTACTTATTAAACAATCACACATCTGAGGTATTAGATGGAAAATATATACATTTTTATATATACATGTATACATGGACACATCCACAGAATATTCACAAATCTATTGGCCCCTACACCAGCAGAAGATTAAATTAACTGAAAAAGAACCATATAATAGGAAAAAAGTTACACAGAGGGCATTTACAAACACGTGGTTATATAATCCTTAATATAAGGAGCATGTCGAATAACTGGTTTGAGGAAAAAAAATGTTTCCATTTATATGAAAGTATCTGTCTTATAGAAATGAAACCAAAAGGGGAACCCAGATTCAGAGCTGTAATGCCTACAGATTATTAAAGGTTTGCAAGAACTGCTTGAATAACCTGGTTCTCTCTACTTTTGTTTTTATTTTTTTATTGTATTTGGGACAGAATCTTACAAGGTCCCCAGGGCAGGCTGAAATCCATAATTCCCCTGCCTCACTTGGCCTCCTAAGTGTTGGGGCTACATGTATGAGTAACCATGCCTGGCTCCCATTTGTAATGAAAAACTGTATTTTAGAGGGGAAAGTGGAGATGATTTGTCAGGCTATTCTTTCATCTTCCTTGGTTTACAGAGAATTTTAAGGACTTTACATACTCTGTTATGGTTGCTGGACAAGGGTTTTTAGCTATTTCATGACTGATTCAGGCTGTTCATTTTGATACTTTTTTCTATTCAGACAATAAAAGGTGTTAGAGATTTCCTTTCAATTTGCCTCACTCAATAAAAAGATAGACTATGCTCGAGCTTCATGTGGAGAAGTTAAATAAAGACACTCATTCCTCTTTTAGACCATTTGGTCCTTTGTTAGAATGCTTGCCTAATTGAAAAGATGGCTCATTAGGCCCTCTAGTCCACCAAGTAATGTTTCACTGCTTTAAAAAGTGGGTGTTTTTTTTTTAATGAAATATCTGAAAACACAGTAGCAACCATATCATGTGTTAAATAGCTGCATTTCAAATATTATTAATAAAGATAAAGAGAATCAAAAGTTATTTCTTTTTATTTTACATATCAGTGTAAAAGTTTAACAGTAAGAAAAACTAAGCATAAAAGTGCATTTGAAATTAAGGGCCGGCATTACATACTCCTGTTCTCATGAACACCTGAGCTGACACAAAACAGTACTTTAATGCACTGGTACACACACACACACACACACACACACACACACACACACACACACACTTTATATTTTAAGGACCTTAATATTCCTTGCCAAGTATTAAAAATCATAAATAAGCATATAGTGATTATGAAATTAAAGCAAGTCTTAAAATGTTATTTCCACCCGTTAGATGGAAAACTTGAGATTTCTCAGTATTAATCTATTTGGTCAAAAAAAAAAATCCTAAGACTTAGCGATGGCTCAATAACTAATAAAAATGCATTCAGTAATGAGGGAATTGAAAGGGGGAAATGTGCTGTTTCCTTTCCTTTCACAGTGTGTGTGTTTCTCTATGTATAAAGGGATAAAATGTCAATTATTGTTTCCAAGCCTACAAAAAAATTGAGAAACCTAGTTGATATGGAAAGATAAAGAGCCACTGGGTAAATATGAAAGTGATCAAATGAAATTTAAAAACTCTATGTAGCTAAAAATAAGACAGGAAAATATTGAGGTTTTTACTACAAGAGTAAGCAGCAAAACCAAAAATCTTTCAGCTGAAGTCATCTAATGACACCTTTATATGTAGCTTAAGATGCCAGGCACTCAACCAACCACTCCCACAGCTATTTCCAAGTTTTGTTTAATCTAACAATTGTTTAATTTAATTTAATAAATGTCATAAATGTAATGGGATGCAGCAACAAACCTGAAACATAATACTGTAAAAAGCCATGTATGACTTCATGCTGTGTTAATTTCTCTCAATCTAATAACCTGACCTAGCCTCTCTATCCCTTTAGAGGTGGGATTTAAGAAGGTTTGGTTCCTGTAAATATCAATCACACTAGTGTAAATTTCCCACTAAAACTGGAAAAAATACATTAAAAACTTTCAAATTTCTACAAATTGTCTGATAGATATGAGCTTTCAAGGTTAATTAGAATGCTACATGTTTAAGTGACTTATTCTACAGGCTTAAGAAAGCATTTTAAATTCTGTGGCATGGGCCCACTTTTGCAGGACATGTACTAACAGCAGAACAGGGTAGAGATTAGCACAGCCCCTGTGCAAGGATGACACCAAAAGTCTTGAAGCTTCTGTATTTTTAATTCAGTGAAAGACAAATAGAAATTAAAAATAGGCACAGTGCACTACTTGAAGAAAAAGAGTGGAAAATAAGACCAGTGTGTGTCAGGACTATCAAATGTAAAACCATGAGGACCACAGACCACACTGAAGACACAGCTTTAAAACGTCAGGGATTTCCATTAAGACAACAAACTGCCTGTTGTGTTCGGGTCCATAGGTGAGTGCTAGAGCCAGCTTTTGTCAGAGAAACTTCTTTATGTAGTGGGCAGAAGCAGCTGTGGAGCTCACACTGGCCATAGTCATGAGACAATTGAGTGTTCAGCATAAGTGGAACATCAAACACTACCCACTCTGAGGCTCAAAAAATGCTACAGAATGAGGTGAGAATAATACAAGAAGGGGTGAAGGATAGTGGAATACTGTCTTCTGGCCATGACACAGTCATCACACATTGTGATTCTGCACAAGGTCTCTGTAAGACAGGGCCTGTCCACATCCTGCCCTGGAGGAGGAAAGGGCTCATGAGGCCCTAAGCCTCCCTGAGGATCTGGGGCAGTTAGTGGTTGATGAAGGAGGGACACACACTTTTCTTTAGGGTTGCAGGCACTAGTGTCTACGTTCTTGTAAATAACCCTCACCTATACCCATCCATGCAACCATAAGGAAAACTCTTTGGATCATCAGCAACAACAGCAACATCAATGTCAGCAACATCAGCATCAACAACATCAACAACAAGACTTGAGAAGAGGGACGATCTGGGAAGAGGAAGAAGAGCACTGGAGTAGGAGGGAAACGAGAGGTTTGTAGGGGTGAAGATGATGAAATGTATTATATGTGTGTATGAAAATGTCACATGAAACCCATTGTGTGATTAATGCATAAAAAGCAGGAAAGAGAAAATGAAAAAATTACACATAGTTACCAGGGAGAAAGAGCTGTATCTATATAGTGAAGAGGGGAAGTCTCTCTGAGGACACCATCTATGAAATTAAAAGCTATAAAACAATCTGAGGGCTGGTGAGATGGCTCAGTGGTTAAAAAAAAAAAAAAACACCTTCCTGAACAAGTCTAACAACTTGAACATAATCCACAAGATTTAAAAAGGTATAGAAAGAGAACTAGCTCCTGTAGGTTGTTCTCTGAACTCTACATGTGCACCGTGGCACATACACACACATACACGCACACACACACAAACACTTGATCACACACATTCAACTCACACATGTGTACACACTACACTCACATACACTCACTTATAGACATATGCTCACACACATGTAATCACACACATTCTAGTTTACACACACACACCATAAATGTAAAAATAATCAAAATAAAACCATTTCAAACAGTTGCGGAATCACAGGAATGACTGAGAGCTGAATCCCAAAAGCTTGAGGTTGAATGTTCCAAGTTAAAGGCTATGCTAAAAGAGCGATGGGTGAAAGATGAAGAGACTGAGATGATCAGTGCAAATACGGCTGGAGATGAAAAGGAACAACTAAGGAAAGTTACTGAGTTGAAACAATGTGTACAAGGTGACATTCTTTAAATCTAAAGTAGAAAAATGAAGACCTAAAGAAAGTGCTCTGGACTTAAAAAAGTAAGAGCAATGGACCTACATGAACAAGAAATGTAAGAAATTAGTTGCCAGAGAGTTTTAAAAACAAGAGAATTTGAAATGGATATTTCAATGGATGCTAAACATGAGATCCATGATCTTAATGGCAAATGGAAAACTATGTACTTCTCTGATTGAAAATACTCCCACACGGGTGTGGGAGCCCATGCCATTAATCCTAGCATGGGGGCGGGGGATGAGGTGGTGGAGCACAGGCCAGTCCTGTGAGTTCCAGGTCAGCCTGGTCTACAGTTTGAGTTTCAGCCAGCCAGCCAGGGCTACATAGACCCTGATTCAAATTTTAAAAAAACAGACGCAACAAGCAAACACAGAAAAAAAAAAAAAAATCACAAAAGCAGCATGGCAGCCTCCTCAGGGATCAGGGGCAGCTTTAAGCTTCATCATCTTGTACCAGAGAACAAGATCAGCAGGTGACGAAGATGCAGAGAAACTAAAAGAATAATTCAGTGGAATTCAGAAGTCTTCACAGTGAATGCTGAAGTGACAGCTGAAGTAGATTCTAATGAAAGATATGAACAGCTGTGCGTGAGGTGTGCAACCTTGGAAAACCATTCATGTGGACGAAGCACTAATTCGGACTAATGGTCAGACAGGGCATTTGCTGAAGGAAGCAGGAGAGAACTCAGAAGGCTCGGAGAACAGGCCGAGAGTGCCCTGGAATTCTGAGTGTGGTGCTAAACTCGGCCCAGGTTTATTCCAAGCAAAGAGCAGCAATTTCTCTGTCAAGGCCCGGCCTCTGTGAGCGCATGCAGGCCAGCCTGCACCAGAGGCAGTCAAAACTGCTAGACACAGGCTGGAGAGATAGACGCGGCTGTTGTGGGGCGTGGTCTTCTGAAGTTATTCCTCAGATTCCATTTTTAGAGTAACAAAAATATGTAGATTGTGAGGAAAAGGTCTGTATTAAAGATGACTAGATATACAGCATTTTAGTAGTTTCCCATTAAATGCATTACTTGAGAACTGTAAAACAAGCCTCTACTTTCTTCATAGCTCTCCTAAAAAGGGCATATTTCTAGAAGGTTGGTTGAGTTGCCCAGACTCCTAGGACAAAGTGTGTAACTTAACCCACTATTATAGTCAGGTGTTTCCACTGAAGAATCTCATAGCAAAATACAAGAGACTGGTTTAAACAGTTCAACAGCGGACAGAAATCAACAATGTTTAGGAAGAAATCCCTAAGGAAAAGCACAAAGCCAATCTGCCTGACATTCTCACTCTTGAGCAAGGGATGGTGGGGGTGTGACAACTGTCAAAATGTGTTTGTAATTCTTGACCTGTGCGAAGCAGAGGCATTAGGCCCTCACTACTGTTAAATACACAAGACCAGAAGCCATGCCAAACCCAAGAAGCACCAAGACTTCAAGTCCCCGCTGTGTGTGCCCACTGTATATTACAGATTGAGTTACAAGGAGCTTATTGTAAAGATCTGAGGAGTGGCCTGGTTGGTGGAGTCACGCTCTGCTGACTTGCTGTCAATCAGTCACTGCTCTAGCTGCTGCTCTATCTCTGCTCAGGACTGCTGTGTCCCAACAGGCCATGCTGCCAGGTGAGCCAGCCACAGGTGGAAAGGCACAAAGCTGGGTGTAGTGGTCATTTTGTTCTTCCTACTTATTTGTAGAAGAATCCGTTTGCTTTGGGGTCCTGCTGTAGTTATCTCCATGAAACTGAATTTCCATGGGAATAAGGTCCATCTTTTGCTTCATAAGCCTCAGTAGCCTTGAAGGACACATAAACGAACATTTGGGGCTAACTTTTAGTTCCTGGAATTGTGAGTGGCATAACTGCAACTTACCATTGAAAACTCATTTAGCATAATTTTATCATCATATTTTCTTTAAATCTATCCTATAGCATTTCGTTCCTATGTATGGCTTAGCAATTCATAAAACTAAAGAGCATACTGATAGTATACACCAGTTCATTTATCTCATTACATATTCTGGAATATAAGAACAATATTAAAAATGTCAATTCCTTCTACATTGATATAAGATTTTACATAAACTTTTAATTTTTTTTTGAAAAATCTTCACTGTTTAAACTCCACACACCCAAACACCTAATGGAAATGTGATTGTGTTATAGACATTCATTCCATCAGCTTGAACAAAGTGTCTCATGGAGCTAAACACTAAAATAATTTAAATAAAAGACAAGCGCTCATATATACACAAAATCATTCTAAAACTATTTACATGGCAAAGGAATAATGGAGAATCACAAAAACTGGCAATTGCTACAGGTGTGATAATCTTCTCCAGATATTGTAAGGAATCATATAAGATTTTAAAGTGAAAGTAAATGCAGAAGCATACTAAAATATTTAGTTTTCAGTTCTTACTATTGAAACGAGCCAGTAGATCATTAACAGTCCAAGATTTCAGGAATCAGCTACTCAGCTTAGTCTTTAATCAAATCTTCCTCAGCTTCATGGCGAAATGAAATGTACAGAAAAGACAGAGTACACTGAAGGAAGTAGGCAGGACGCCCAGCCTATCCCCCCTTGTAGAGGCTGGTCAGCCGCTCCAGCTCTTTGCAGTTGTCCATGCTCAGGGCATCTGCCTTCCTCCGCAGCCGCTCATCGCGATACACTTTTGCTGCATACTGCATATCTGTTTCTGTATACAGAATGTTTGCTAGTTAATGATTCACATCACCTTGGTAGCTTAAATTTAAATAACACTTTAGATATATACATATATTTCTCTTAACTGAGGAGAGAATCAAGTATGATTCCTATAAACCATTTCACTAGGACTTTTATTTAAAAAAACAAAACTTTTGGACAGGCTCTTTACATAGACCTGGCTCTCTCGAGGCTCACTACATAGACCAGGATGGCTTGAACTCAGATATCCTCCTGCCTTTGCCTTTGAATGCTCTGATCAAAACAACCCCACCTATTGGGCTTTTTCTTTATATAACTTAGCACATGGAACCCAACTTCAAAAGGAAATAAGACTAGAGCCCTGACACTGCCTCTCAGGGGCCTTCTCCTTTACTCCTGAGCCAAGCCACTGCTCCAGAATACCCTCTGAGGCTATTCTAAAATACCCCCCAGAATCTCGACTGTCAGTGGCTGTGTTTTGTTGTGTTTTTGTGATAATTCCAACAGTTAAGAACACAAATAAGCCAGGCATGGTAGCACACACATGGAATCCCAGCACTCAGGAGGCAGAGGCAAGCAGACTTCTGTGAGTTTGAGGCCAGCCTGGTCTACAAAGAGAGTCCAGGATAGTGAAGGCTACACAGAGAAACCTTGTCTCAAAAAACCAAAACCAAAGCAAAACAAACACACACACAAAAGAACACAAATTAAAATAAGCGCCTCTTCCTTTTCTTCCTCCACTTCCTTCTTCTTCTTGAGAATGGATTTCATTAACTTGCCCAAGCTGGCCTCAAACTTATGGTCCTTCTGCATCAGCACCCCAAGTGCCAGGATTGTGTGTTCTTCCACACACAACAAAAAATCTGGAATATATATACCCCCCCCCCATATATGTGAAAACATCCCCTACATACACACAACTTGAATAAATACCCATAATTCCACCTGCCAGAACTAGGTGATAAGATCTTATGGATGAATGTATTACATGCTTGGATACAGGAAAATCAAACTAGAATTGAGATAGAAGCCTACTTCTTCCCAGCCGGCTTTTACAGTGCCAAAGGAGCTATGCAGGCTGACAAATTATTATGAGCAGTCTTACTCAGTGTGGATGCCGGGTACTAGTCTAGTAATCTGACAGGCAGTGTGTGCCTGCCATACAATAGCGCGGTGGCTGTTATGGGGCTAACTAACGACTTTTTCATCAGAGTTGAGGTCCAGTCCACAGGAAAGAATTCACATTTGGTCTTGTCAACCTGGTCAAAAACCTATGGCTGGGAGACCACAGGCTCACTGGAGAAGCTGTGCGGCTCTTTTGCTGAATTGATACAATGAACTTGCCTTTAAACACTTTGTTTACATCCCGTGATTAACATGCTGTCAGCTGTGAAGAGAAAGCTTCCCTTTGCAATGGTGGTGATTACTGCACACGTATAAATGCTTAAAATGATGAGCATAAATGACTGTTGAAGGTTCACCCCTAAACAAGACATCTCTTATCATCCCCTCCGAAGCCCAGGGAGCATGGGCGGAATGAAGAGCCGGAAGGGCTGGAGGCTGTGGAATGATGTCCACCAGGCATGACATCATTGCTGCTCTCATGAACTCACAGGAGTTATGATCTGCACAGCATTAGGTCCGTCAACATTCTCACATAACCAACACTGAACACTGGTCCACGACACTACGCTAAATGCTTAATGAATCTTACGTTATGATGATGAAGTAACTAGTTTAGACAGAAGTAACTTAGTCTTCTAGATAATGTGTGATGAGAGGAAGCATCATGTAAGGCAATCTACTCAACAAAATGTTTGTTACACACAGTGAGACAAGAACATTTAGTACATTCTTGGACTAAGCCAATTACTATGTTTGCCATATGTATAAAAATCATTGCGATCAACCCTCAATTGACATATTACATTGCTTCCAGGATCTCCAGACACTAGTTAGATAAGATAGGATGCTTAGATAAGATAGGGTGCTTAAGTCTCTTATACAAAACATCTGTGTTTGCATATAACCTACATGTCACCTCCTGTGTCTGTTACTTCTATCTTAACAAGTGCTATCTAAAAATGGTGGCGATGTCGCGCAAATAACTGTGATATTGGATGAATTAGAGAACAAAAACATGATAAGAACATCAGCACGTGTTCAGCACAGATACAACTGCTCTTTTTCTGCACAGTTTTGATTGACAACTGATTGAATCCATGGATGAGAGATGTTTCAAATATAGGAGCTGCCTGTACATGTTCATGTACTGAATTCCAGGGATAGGCCAGGTGATTTCAGAGCACTCCTTAAGTAGGAAAATTTACAGCAATGATTCCAAAGACTCTAAAGGTTTTTCTAAAATATGAAAAACAAGTGATAGACTTACTCTGCTGTCTTTCTTTCCAGCAGTTATTTCGAATATTAGTCACATAATCCTCTTCCACGCTCTTTTCTACCTTTTGTAATAGCGATCCTTTATACTCGCTTTTAAAGTCCTTACTGACGTAATAAACAACGCCCAAGTTTTCTGTCTGCATTTTAATAGTTTGTCCTGATCCACTGCAAAAGAAATGTATGGTCATTCTTCTTTTAATTAAGACTATATTCTTCTATGCAAATCAAGGAGCAAAAATAAAGGGAATTTAAAGTTAACAGCAGTATTAGCAGCATTCTCAAAAACTGCTTCAAACCACTTTCCCCAGAGTACACAAATTTTGTTCCTTTATCTTCTGGTCACTCAAGTAAGTTCCCACTTAATGACACTCATCTAAGACCAATTTTTTTCCTTTTTGCCTTTCATGTCGGTGTATTAACTATTACATTACATTCAAATTGAAACATAGCACTTTTGTCCTTATCCACCGTGGGACAGAAGTGCACACCACACCATCGAGAATCATACGAATGTATCACTTATGCTAACTACTTTTGAAATTAGAGATTTTGTTTTGTAAAACGGTAAGCACTTAAAAGCATCAAAAGACCCTTCAAGGAGAGAAAAACAATAATAGCAATAATTAAATTTTGCAAAATCTTGCTTAGCTACTTACGATCGGGGATATAAGGAATAAGGAGGATTCGAGACCATCAATTGGCTTAACAACGATACGAGGATCAATACAATAATGGGCATCAGCTGGATAAACACAGAAAAACCTCCCTATAAAAGATCAGAGAGCAACAGATTGTATCAGGACTGCCAGCAAGCCAGCGGCTGCCACACACTCTTATCAGTACGAAGGACATCTGTGGCCATCTAGGGGCGGCTCTCCAACCTGCTGGATAAACCCAACCTTCTGTTCTAATTCCTAAAGCACAGACGCCCCAGCGCCTGAGAAATAATGATATAATCTGACCCTATTTTAGAGATGAGGAAGCCCCTCCTTTCCTACACAGAGACGACTGGGTTTGTGAGGGGACCGGACACTCGATGGAGCTGGTCTCAGGCTTCTTCACATCTAGTCTCGGGTCCTTTCCATTCAGCTTTCTCTACAAGGAACTTAATGAATACGGGCAATCAGGTATACCTGCATTAGAACCAAGCAAAGGCAAAGATACTTCTAACTGAGGGTTTTCAGCATCATTTCTAAATCTTTCAGGATCAATAAAAAGAAGCCACCTTCAGAACATGCAAAATAGAGATATACTTTGTCAGAATCACGTAATACCAAGTCGGAAGGGTCATGCTGCTACCACCCCTACCCTGACCTCTACTCCCGCACCTACACTATTCTTGCAGGATTTCTGAGTCTCTTTTGAACACTTGCTAAGAGAAAACTCATTATTTCCTAAAACAACTTGCCCCATTTTTAGACAATTTTAATTGCATTTTGAACTGGCATTTGTCATTTTGAGATCACGTTATAAACATACATCTGCTCTTTCTTCTTCTCTTTCATGCCCACTGTGTCGGTGCTGATGTTGATGGCTGTAAGCAGCCCGGCCGTTTGAAAATGAATGTACACTACCTAGAAAATTAAATACAAGGTTAAGTTAGAAAACAACTGTGATTGGGAAAAAGAAAAAAAAAAAAGGATTTTCACTGTTCTGTTCATCTGTGTGCCTTGCTGTGATTAAAAGCACATGCTGCCATGCCTACCCTTCTTGAATGCTACCAAAATAGTGGATGTTTGTTCTGAGTAATGACTGTTTACTGCCTGATCTTTCCTTGCCTCTAAACCAGTCATGATCTACCCTACCCAGCTTTCTAAATTTCTTTGCAAAAATATGGGTAAGAGTTCCTTGATGATGTTACATATCATTGTTGGTGATGGTTTCTATTCTGAAATTCTGATTTCTTTGCTTAAATGAATTAAACATATCTAGAAATCCAAAGAGAGCACCATAGTTAATGTTTTAAATGCTAATATGTTAAATTATAAGTGGGTCACACATAAATATTCAAAAGATGGACACTTTACAAATGAGGTGAAGAACCAGAAATGGCTACTATTGACTAAGTAAACCATGTTATAACTAACAGAGAACTGAAAACTATTAAGAAAGAAATTATTGCTTCAAAGATTTCTGACTGTTCCCAACGTATTTTAAGTCAAAATTCCTAATTTAGTAACTTGTCTTGGAGGTAATGTATTCCAATATGTCAAAACACAGGTTACAGTTTTGATCATTCATTAGTATTTTTACAACTCAAGGATGCTTTGCAAAATATCCTATCAGTGACAACTGTCTTTCTCAATGATATTAAGAGAGCCATCAGGTCAAATTCTTGTTTTGCATGAGTACCTTAAGTCAATGCCATAAACAACCTAGAACTTAAAGACACTATTCTTAAATTCATTTCCACATAAACGATTCATAGGATGTGAAAATAAAGAGTTTATACTACTTATGCCAGCCCTGCAAGATCTACTCATTCAGTGGAAAACTACAGTTCCTGGCAGCCTTGTCCAAGCGGTTATTCCTACCATAACATAAAGATACCTGGACAGTTTATGTATCAATTAGACTGTCTACTATTTCAATAAAGATTTGTGTGAAGACATTTACATTAGCAGTCTATAATGCCATTTGAGGCTCCAGGGAACCACTGTCAGTCACCCCACCAGGTACCAGATGCCCCCTCTAGTTGTAACGACTATGATCCACTGCCTCCAGGTCTCCTGTCTATTTTCCTTTTCTTCAGTTTTTAATAAAACAAGGTATCTGCACTCAACTCTTTTTTAATTATTCTCTAGGAACAAGGCAAGCTTAGTAACAGTGGTAGCCCTTAGTGTTCCCTCCTTCGACAGAAAGCCAGCACTGTAGAAAATGCAGGGTGATCCTCATGCTCAAGCCTGTGACCTCAACCCTTGGGAGACTGAGGCAGAAGGACGGCGGTAAGTTAGAGATGACCCTGGGTTACACAGTGAATTCCATGCTAGAGTGAAACTCTTTTCTCAAAACAAAACAGCCCAGATGAAAATGTTGAAAATCTGTACGAAGTCTAGGTGAGGAAATAAAGTTAACTTGGAGTACCTGAAGGAAATCCACCGCCAAAAAAGATATTGAACAGGTCTTCTGGAGTGATGTCGGCTTCACAGCCTCGGTGGAAATTGAACCTGCCGTTGTTCTGGTGATTACAAGCATTTTCTTCACTGCCTGTGAGGTCATACTGTTTTCGTTTCTCTGGATTGCTTAAAACGGCATAAGCATTTCCAATCTCTAAAAAAGCGACAAGTAACAACATTGGAAAGCAGTCTTTAGTCTTTAGTAGAAGACTATCCCACATACAGCAAGATCAACTCAAATATTACTTGAAACCAATTGAAGAAATCATGAACGATTTCTTTTGAATATTTTATGTATATTTCACAACATCACATTATCTCCCAACATAGCTTTCTACACTAGCCATCCAAATCTTCCCACTGCCTTGGAAAGGGGGGGGGGTGCCCATCTACCCCACTGCAATAATGCAGCATAGCCCCTGAAATCCCGCTCCCCCATCTTGGGTTCCCAAAGCGAGCCATTCATCGAGACTGTTCAGCCTATACACCATGGGTGGGGTCACATACCTATAATTCCAGCACTAGGAAAGCTGAGGCAGGAGGATTAAAAGTTCACAGCCACCCTTACCAACAACTGCTGCAAACAGTCGCAGCAGTGTCCACCGAGCATTGAGAGCTATAGCTTCCGCTCTTCACTCCCTGGGTAATCTTCACAGCATGGGGCCGAAGGCCTTCTTGCTAAGTAACTTGTCTGAGGTCAAATACCTCACTCGGTATGTATATGTACTACTCCAAGACATCTCCCCCGAAACCTCCTTTTTCTTCTCGCGCACTACTACCCATTTTATTTCCACACAACTTGTTTTCCTTAAGACAGAAAACCCCGTGTGAGCATAGGGACCGCCTATGCCTCGAGTACAGTGCTCAAGGCATAAAGTACACAGCATGAAGTCCTGTGTGTCGTTGCCGTTGTGTTATTTTTGCAGCTGAGTCTCAGTATATAGCCCAGGCTAGCCCTGAACTACTCCCTCATTTTGTGCCTGTGCAAATGTTTGCAGCAATTTGTTATCTAGAGAATGAAATACAAATTTTATTTTGGTATTCAAAACTTTACAAATCACGATTCTACCTCACTGTCATTGACTGCACATAAAAGACCTTCCAATTCATTTTTTTTTCTTTAAATATTTTACTTTGTGGTAATTACAGATTCATGCACAATTTTAAAATATAAGACAGAGCTCCTCTACACTTTTAATGTAATTTCCCCTGGTGATACTATCTTATCCATTACAGCAAAGAATGATAAATGGAGCACTGACGTTAACGGAGACAGACATAGAACATTCTATAGCCACTGCTTGAGTACTCTAATTCTGCACTTTGTATGTGCATGAGGTGCCTTGTGGGCACGTAGGCCATGGCCACCACTTGGTGGAGTTGGTTCTTTCTGACCACCCTTCCCTGGGTTCTGGGACTGGGATTCAGGTGACTGGGTTTGCACGGCAAGCACCTTTCTACTAGCTGAACCATCTCCCTGGCCCCACGGGGGGTCTTTACCACCACACTCAACTCCTGCCCCATCATGCCTGTCTTCAGTCTATGACAACTACTGAACTTTTGACCACTTCTCTAATTTTGTCATTTCTAGGATGTTGACAGCCCACAGTGAGGGAGATCCATGCCTATAGTTTCAGCACATGAGAAGCTGGAACAGAAGGACTCTGAGTTCAAAGTCAGCCTGGGTTACATATTGAGACTCTGTCACACATACACACACAAAATTAATATTGTATAAGTAACACAATATAAGAATGAGATTGCTTCATATAAGCAATCTCTTTGGAACTGGCTGGTTTTAGTGAGCACAGAATCCAGGCTGATTTGGGTAGTTACATGTCAGAAGCGTATTCATTTTTATTACTACATAGTATTCCAGGAGATGGCTACAGTACTGTTGCTCTAACTGCCCGTCCCCTGAATAGCAGCTGGGCTCCTTCTACTTTGGCGCTATTTCAATAAAGCTGCTATATGCCTTCACCACAGGTTTATGGATAAATGTAAATGTTCATTTCTCTGGGATAAATGCCAGGAGTGCATTGCTCAACTGTATGCTCAGAATTCGTTTTTTCACCAACTTCCAAAGCTGTTCTGCAAAATGATTCTCATTTTACTTCTCAACAATACATGAATGACCCATTCTCTGTGCTCAGAGCGCTTCAGTGGGAGACATGGCCATTTTCTAGGTTAGCCACCACGACAGGTGCACAGCCGACATCTACTTTTCTCTCTGGTTTCTCACTCTGCATTTCTCTAACGGCTAAGGATGCTGAAATCTTTTCATGGGCTTCTCTGACACGTGCAGTAAGATGTCATCTTCAGCAAAATGCCACTCCTTTTGGCATGCGTGTGTGCGTGCCCGTGTGTTTGGTGCTGTGTAGCACACATGTGCATGTTCCTGTGTGGGTATTTGTGTAGGTGTGCATACGTCTGTGTCTGCATCTGGGTAAAGGCCAGAGGATAACCTCGGGCACTGTTCCTCAGCTTCAGCCCACCTTAGGTCCTGAGATAGCCTTTCACTGACCTGAGCTCCCCAAGTAAGCCGGACTGCAGCATCAGTGAGCCCCAGGGACCCAGCAGGGCTTCTTGGCATTGCTGCCACGCCTTGCTTTTCTTAACGTGGGGTCCAGAGGTGAAACTCAGGACGCTTTACTGAGTCACCTCCCCAAGCCCTCTGTCTTTTTTAATGGTACCTGTAAACGCTTTATTAGCATACCTCAACTACACACAATAATGGCTTCACTAGGACGCTTTCATAGGTGCATGCATAATGTATTTTGAGCAGTAGCCTCCCACTCCCCCTTGTCCTCTCCCACTAACTTTTTTCTTCCCAACTCTCCCCTTCTACTTTCAAGTCTTAAATCTTTTAAATACTTTTATTTCATGTATGTGTATAAGTGTGTTTGTATGTATGTGCATGTTTGCATGTGTATGCATGGGCATGTGTGTGGTGTGCGTGCATGTGTATTTGAGTGTGCACAAGTGTGTGTGTGTGTGTGTGTGTGCGCGCGCGCATATGATGTGCACATGTGGAATTCAGAGGACAACTCTGTGGAGGCGGCTCTGTCTTTCACCTTTACATGGATCCGGCAACTGAACCCTGCTAGCACTTTCACCTGCCGAGACACCTCCCTGGCCTTCCTCTCACACCTCTTTTTCTGTACAGCTCAACTAGCTTAATTAGACTTCCTTACAGTAACACGGGAGACGGCTGTGTACAGGAGCATGAGCATTTACCAGTACTGTCCCACTGAGGAAATGTCCCTCCCTTCCCAACTGCCTAGGGATCCTAGGGATAACAGGGCACTCCATAGGCCCTCCTAGCAGCTGTTAACTACCTATAAATCTGGGGGTGGAGTCTTGTGAGCTCCCCATGATGGAATATCCATGAGACCAATCCTGAGCAGTCTTAGGCAGTTAGTACCTTAGCTGAGGAGAGTTCAAGCAAGTAATGGCCATGTCATGCCTGGAGGGAAGTGCCCACACCTTCCCATCCTTCCTTCACAATGTTTCCTGAGCTTGGAGTGGGTGATACACACACCTCATTTACAGCTAAGATGATCCTTTTTTCATTTTTATTTATTTGTAAAATCTTTCGAGAAAGAAAGGGTCCCATCATATTGCAAATTGCTCTTGAACTCATGGACCAAGTGGTTCTCCTAGCAGGGGGCTGTCAGGATGCACAGCACATCTAGCTTCTTCCGCCTGATTTTACACTGGACTGTCACCTATCATTTGAGTTTGGAGAGGGTGTCATATAAAAGACTAGTGCTTCGTTGTGTGAGTGCCGGACAAATAGTTCCCTCAACTTGTAGCTTATGTTTTCATACTTTTAATAGAGCAGAGAAAACTAAATTTTTCCCTATTTCCCCCCTAATTTTCCTCATGTAAACCATGCTTTTGGTGTTCGGTCTGACTGAATCATTGGCCTGTGCTATGTCCTAAAGCTCTGTACCCACAAGACACACACACAAATTTTTTTAATTAATTAATTTATTTATTTATATGCATTGGTCTTTGTGTGCTTGTATATGTCTGTGTGAGGGTGTCAGATCTTGGAGTTACAGACGTGAGCTTCCGTGTGGGTCCTGGGAATTGGACCCAGGTGCTTAAGAAGAGCAGTCAGTGCTCTTAACCTCGGAACCATCTCTCTACCTCCCCAACCCATGCTTGTTTTTTATTTGCAGTTGTGACCCATTTTGAGGGTCCCGTGTGGTTGGTTTATATAAAACGTGAGACTGAGGCCAAGGTTAATCATATCCCTATATATGTCTAACAATTCAAAACCCAATTCATTTGTGCTGACCATGGTCACATGAGCCTTAACTCACCATTCACCTGTTTGAGCTCTTCTGCTTCTCCACATACATGAGGATAATCTCGTTCCTGTCTGCTGGAGTCAATACAGAGGGAGAGAGTGTGCCAACTGGGTAACCACATGAATGTGTTCAGTCTTCCAAGCCACGTACATGGTCTCGGATTTTCATCATTACTGTGTCATTTCCCGCAGAAAAATGTGATGCTTTGGCTAAATTTATGTCTTTTAATTTTTGTAAATTTTACTTATTTTAAAATCTCCATGTCTACATATTTCTTGTAAAGTGTAGTACAATTGATTCTGTATGTTTATTTTGTGTTTTGGAACCTACAGAATTTGGTTATTAGAGTTTCTATAGATCCCCTGGGATCTTTTTTAACAGACAGCCACATCTGTCACAGATATGACCATCACTGGCCATCCCTCTCTGCGATGCTACCTCCTCACCATAACAGTGACTGGATCACAGGGCACTGCGCTATGAGAGCCCTCCATCTGACTTCTCGTAAAATCTACTTTATTGATTACCATGTGTGTCTCTCATTTCCAGAAGGTTGACTGTGTTGTCCCCCACTGTAGACTCATTCAATTTCTCACATCCAATTGGGGCACATCCAATTTCTCACATCTAAAACCTTGTATTTTTCAGTCAAGTTTGAGACGTCTTCAAACTTTAATTATTCTAGCACTGTACAGCTCTGTCTCCCTCCCGCTCTCAGAGCCCCACTGACCTGAGAATCAGATCTTCTGTTACAGCTTTATGTTCGATGAGGCTGCTTTTCCTACTCTGTACTACATTCTTGGTTGTTCAAACGGCATGTGCCTGCTTTTCCATT